CACCTCACCATCGATAAGCTCAGTGTCTTTCCATGGAGTATATCAAATGCTCAGACTGCCTACGCCCGTCTCCTCCTGCTCTGCAGTAGCAGAGCCCCAGTAGATAGCCAGGACAGGCAGCACAGCCAGGAAATCCCTCTTTCCTATTTTCCCCCCCCAAAAGAGAGCACAGCCTCTCAGGAGAACATGCCTGATGGGATCTGCCGTGGTCTGCAGGGAGCAGATTATCTTGGATAGCTCTGTAGCTTCCTGCAGTGCTCAGATAAAACTTACTCAGTGCAATGTTCATTGCTTTCCACAGGCTTCTTTGTTCACCCGCAATTTCTTCTGCGATTTTCTATCCAAACTGCCATCATTTGCACTTTGCTGCTCACTTACATGTACTTTCTTAAACACTTCTGATGTGTCTGGTCTTTACCATAGTCCTTATCTCATAAGCCACAGAGCACAGGCTGTATCTGCTGCGATGGGAAGGGCAGGTCATTTCTGCGATGCTTGTTAAGACATGTTGAGGTAGGAAACACAACAACGAGCACGAAGATTCACAATGTACGTGCACATACATCTATATTTATGTGCACTGCCTGTTTTAAGCCAAGGCTTGGAGAGTTCCAGAAGGAACAGACTGGGGACCACAGGTTCATGTTATCACAGTGGTGTCATTCCCACACATACCAACTGCGCACGTGCAACCTGAAATCCCCTGCTTAGCAAGAGCCAACTTTCCAGAGCAATTGCAATATCATTTTTGGCTCCTGTTAAACTTCTCACAGATATAACTATGTGAGAAGGCCACATTACATTCAATCAATAGCACAGTTAGGGCTTTTTTGAACTTAAAGCTGCTTATGGCAGTGAGTTGACCAACAGTGACCATAAACTTCACAGGTCTTTTTAAACTGGACAGGATGGGCTGTGCCATGACAAACCCCAAAGGATTCTGTCTGCTTGTTAAGGAACATGAAGCTCCAGCGCTCCAGTGGTTCAGTTCAGGTAAAACACAACAGAGATGCATTTGCTTCATTCCGTTTTCAAGCTGCTCCAGGACAAGGTCTTTCCAGTGAAGCAGTGACCCAGGATCACACCCGGGATCTTCCCTCTCCAAGGCTGTCCTCCCGCTCTCGAGACCTGCTCCTGCTGAAGGCGGAGGCAGCAGCCTGACCAGAGTAACCTTAGACTCCGTGCTTCTGCCATAAAACCTGATGGACTATAAATACCCCTCGGAGTGGAGAGAATTCTTTTTTGACACATTATATATAATGGTTGCAATATAAAAATGCACTGCTCTTGGCAGGCTTTCCAAGGCTTCCCTTCGGGAGCTCCGCAAACGGGCTGGTGTTTGATGGGGTTTTTTCCCTACTCTGCAGCCAAAACTGCATTTCAGGGAAAGGCGGGGAGACGGCTCTCCTGGGATGGAACCTGTATGCCTCTTACGGAGACGCTGAAGAGGCTTTCTTCAGAGTTTCCAGACCCCTGAAGTGACCTCAGCTCCATGAGCTCACGGATGCGTTCGCCAGGGCTGAGCTAGGAAGGTGTGAGTGTCAGCAGCGGGTTTGTGCTGCTCTTCGTTGCTTCTCAGGCCAGGGTGAAGCTCTGTGCTCACCAGGCAGCCAGTGACCTTCAGCCCTGTGTCCCCATGATGTGCCTCTGAACAGAGCCTGGTTAAATGGGTCTGCTCTCCTGCTCCCACAGCAAAGCATCCAGGCTAGGCCAGACCTAGTGCCACACATCTGAGGAGGTGAGGCAATGAGCAAGGCCAGGGCTCTGCTCTCACCAGTGACATTGCCCTGGTCCAAAGCCAGTGAGACCCACACAGAGTCAAGCTAAAAGTGATCCAAACCTAGTGGAAAGGTTTAGAAGAAACACTGGTGCAAAGCTGGGCTCTAAAGAGCCCAGACAGGGACTGGAGATGAGTGGAGATGTGGGCTCCAGATACACCCCAGCCTCACCGCATTGCCTTCCCATGGCCCAGGCACGTAACCTGCCACTCTGGTCTCTCCAGCCAAAGCATCAAAAGACATACCTACCTCACGAGTCCTGCTAGCTGTGCTGTTTCATGCATCCGAGTCTGTCCATGGCTTTATGAGCTGCTACAGGGATGTGGCAGAGCTGCTCAGCTGTGGAAAGCACCCTCCTGCGATGGGGATCAACACTTGTCTCTTAGCAGAAGACTGACCAGGATAAAGAAATCAAAGTTCTCCTCTCATTCAAAACAAGAACAAAGCATTCACATCAACATAATGATTCCTATTGCCTCCGCAGATGACAACCCCAGTGTAGGTACCAGGGAAATGCACCCACTGGTGGTCACAACGATGCTGCAGGGTGAGTGGAAGCAAGTGAATTTCAAGAGAAATGAACAGACAAGGTGCGGGTGTTAGGCTAGGAAGCCCCAGCTACCCCTACAAACAAACCACAGCCAACCAACGGAGAAGGCTCCGCTTCCAAAGTAGGAAGTGAGAGGTATGGGCACGAGAAGAATTGGATTGACATTCAGACATTTCACTGCTCAGGTTTAAACTGAATGTGAATCCTAAACCAAGCATCTGTCAAAGCTCTGAAGCATCGGCCATCCAGATACTGCCACTTTGTGGCTGGAACAGAGTCAGAAGTGCTCAAAGACCATAAAGCAGACTCTGACCTGGGGTAGAAAGGTTGTAACCAGAAGGGTCAGTGAACACAGTTGTTCTTTGCCCAGTCTTTCTAGGCACTTGGCAGCATTTTGACTGTTCAACGCCAACACAGAGGGTACCTCTCCCTTGGGACTTGCTCACTCAGCTCCTGATGCACAACGGGCAGTACACATCTTACTCTGAACTGGCAATGCCATGGGAAAACAGAATCCTCTCCTAGTCTCTTTGTCTCCATATAATTAAGTTCAATATGACAAAGCATCCAAGGGGGCAAGCATTTTGTAAGGTTCTCAAGAGCTGCAGTAACATTAATGTTCTAAAACTATTGATCACTGATCCCGTCATTTATATTCCACTACAAAAGCACCTCACATCCCCAGATGCACAATAGGTGTCAAGAGTAAGAACCTTGAAAAATACATTGAAAAAGTTACAATAGCAAATGCCTTGTTTATGCCATAATTGGTATTAGGCAATTAATGGTGGGATGAAACATCACATTGCTTCTGCAAACAAAAAGCAATGCTGTTTAAAGAACGTTTAATGAGCGCGTTTTATGTTGTCCTCAGCAAGTTCACTGCCAAGCCACAAAAGACATTTATACACGCTTCCTTTTGTCTCTAATGAAAGGGTCATTGCTACCGGCCTCTTGTTAGATTCACAAGTTGAAAAGGGAAGACAGAAAAAAGCACAAATGTGATGCTTGAAACTTGAAATTCACCTCTTGAAGAAGCAGTTTCAGTTCAAAGCTCTTTGCTCGACAGGGACATTCAGCACTGTGCAGGCCATCAGAATGAGAGGTGAACCAAATCAGAACCAAACACCTCCGTGCAGCTCAGTGACCACCTCACCAGAGATCCATTGTACACCTCCGGTACCCAGATGCTCCAGATATTTGACATTCCCAAGTCTTCACTATTAATGAGGTGAGATCCTGAGCAACCAGCAAAAACGAAGGTGGAAATAATGTATTTATTTGCTAGGAATAAGTATTCCTCTGTGCAGATCAGGGCCGTTTCCCAGACCGCAATGGAGGGGGATAATGCCTAAATCACTTTAAACCAGAACAATTACCTGATCTCCTGTTTCCCAAAACCCATTTTCTACATCTGTTTCTCCTACACATTTCAAACACCACCGCTCTCCATGGGCACATTTAGAAAGGACCAGGCCAATGCACTGCACAGGAATTGGTGCTGCACTTCCAGCTATGTGAAATGGTAATACAGGCATCTCCAAGTACTTCCCTTGTAGGAGACCTGAGTTGTTTATTCCTTGTAAGTGCCCAAAGTAAGTCAGTGGCAGGGTTTTCCTCATGAACCTCTTGTCTAGGTTTGAGATGAAATGACCTTACAAACCTTCTCAAGAATATACATTTCTGAAGCACTGTGCCTGGGAAACACACACAGGAAGGAAGAATCTGAAGAAGCCTTAGAAAGTGGGGAATTCCCAGAACTAATTCATACACAGACTAAGAAACTAACACAGTGTGCTACAGAGATGCACCAAACACCACGTATGAAGTCTCGCAGAAACCTCAGCTCCTTTCTGATGAACGGCCTGTGTAAAGCAATAGCATTTTGATAATGAGTTGGGAATAACGAATTTATCCCCAGATATGCCACGGTGCATTCTGCATTCATACTGTCTGCACGCCTCAATGGTCTCTTTTTAGCCATCTCTGCAGTTTAAAAATGTGTGGTTTTAAAGAGCATATCCTGTTACACTGGAGACCGTAAAGTGAAAAGCCATGTCTTACTCTCACATAAGCACAAAAACATCTCTGGCATTCCTTCAGTGAAATCCTTGGAGTTTTCTAGGGATTCATTTTACAAGTTAAATGCAGAATATAATTTTCTGGGCAAGTTTATCAAGGCGAAGCGTAACAGAGCTCCTGAACAAATACAAATCAAACGCATTATTTGCCTTTTCCACTTGTGATTGGCTTGGGCTGCTTAAAACCATTATTTATCAGTTAAAGAGAAGCCTGATAACATCTGAGATACCAGTAAATTGTGGGAATTCAAGCTTCTCACGATGAAATGTACAGCAGAGGAAGTGATGGACAATTTGCAGCTGGTAAAAAGAGGTATCCTCTAATGACATACATCTGGCCTCCATTATCTCAGCATCTGCTGTACTGAAACCCAACCCGCCTCACGAAACACAGTGGTATGCTGAGGAAAGGCACCATATCCACTGGATTCTCTTCAACAGCTTAAGACCCACCCATCCCCTTTATCCACTGCTCACCATTCCATTAAAGCAGCAAAAGGCACCCAGCAGCCTGCCCATCACTCACATTTATTACACAGGGCTGAATTATTTTGGCTCTTTGATCTTCGACGATCAGACCAGGACCACGACTCAGCATGACTGACTTCCATTATCATGGATTCAAAACAACTGCTTTGGACCTCTGGCAATGATCTATCCAGCCTTTAAGCGAGCCCTTAAATCTCTAAAGAAAAAGAATCCCTATTTTAATTGGCAAATATGGGGGTTTCTACTTCTTTGTTGTCACTGCTCATTTGTATTGCTTGCAGCAGAGTCCCACCTCAAATCAGTGCAGTAAGAGTTAAATCACTGCCACCTACAAGACCTCTTTGTGAAGCCTGGATGAAGGCATCCGAGCAAGGCAGATGCACATAGTAGGGTGAAAAACATCCACTGCAAAACTCCCAATGGCCACGGCCTGTGTGCAGCCAGAACTGAGCCAGCCGGCCAGTGACGTGCACAGGGATGTGCGAGGCAAAACTCAACAGCAGTGACAGTGTCCTAAATGCCAGGCTTTTCAGCTTGTGTTCCAGCATAAAGGGAAAAGCAAAGCAACACGATGTTACTTAAGAGAGCAGCTAAAGGCCAGCAGCCCCAGTGTCTAGCCTGTGAGAGATGGTCCATGGAGGAGCATGGAGCTTGGTGGGACTTCTTGGCATCACCATGCGGGGCCGCCTGCTGCTCTGGGGTTGAGTGGAGGGTTTCCAGATTCAACTGAGGGTTTATTAGCTTGGGGAGGCAGAAGACAGACAGTTAATATGCATTCACATACAGCAAACTAGAAACACCTGCTGGCCTTCAAATACACTTCTTGGCTGGTTTATGGAGACAGAGGGTCTAACCCCTCCATATTCCCATTTGAAAGGGGTTACAAAGGCCCCACGAACACTGAATTATGCAAAGACAAGCTGTCTGCACAGCTACATACAGCACGTATCTGCGTGTGCATGCAGAGCCACTTGGCTTTGGTGAAGTGTGAGTCTGGGTGTGCCAGAAGGGTCTGTGTGCTCGTGTATGGCCAGGATGATAAAGAAAATAGGGAAATAGTCACTGCGCTGCAAATCACTTCCATGTTTCCAATGAGGGAGCTGTTAAAATGCAATATATGTTCTTAAACAATAGCTGGTGGTATTAATATACTCTAAGCCACGTATATACTATTATATCCTACTGTTCATAAACCTCCATACTCATATATATGCACAACAGTGTGGATTCCCGTTTTCCAATATGCCATTTTTCACCTGAAGTTTGTAACATATTTCACAGTAAAAAGTGACTGTAACAAATGCCTTTGCTGGCTGTGCCACCCTTAATCTGTCTGGGGGGGATGTCAGTGGGAGATTTCCCTCCCCTCTGTTATCAACCAACTTAGCTGGGTCAAGGCAGCACAGAAAAACAAGCTTATGCCCCAGGAAAAGACCTGCATTGCACAAGAGGAATGCACAAGCACTTGAACTTGGATCAGGGATGTACAGAAAGTGTCCTCCCTTCCTCAGATAACTCTCATTCATTAAACCTCTGGAGCAGGAATCCTCTGAGCACCTTCCTGGAAAGAGGAGCATTGGTAATGACTGGAATCTCAACCTAGGCTTTCTTGAATTATCACACAAGTTCTACAGTAGCGCTGAGACCAAAGGAGAGGAAACAGACTGAAACACAACAAATGAAGCAAGAAATGAAAGGCAAACCTGCGGCTGAGGTGGAGATAAGGACTTTCAGAGGCTGGTTAAAAGATGTTATCACCTGCTAGAGAACACTGCTGTACAAAAACGCTTTGGAGAAGGCAGCACATAATGAGTAAGAAAATATTTTCTCCAACCTTTCCAAACCCAGAAATTGGAAGCACAACATTCCAATGATTTATTACAGACCGTGCTATGTATGCAAGCATGAATTAATCCTGAAAATCCCAGGAAGGTTTTACAGCAGTGCTTATCTTTTCTGCGTTGGCCTCCACTCCTCGTTTCACTCACTAAACCCCCTGTTTGGGTTGGAACCCGTTCCCTTGTGCCTATGGCCAGTGTGGATCCCGCACCGCCAGTTTTCACGAGATCCCCAGGAAACAAGGGAAGATTAGGTTAACAGTTGGACTCGAGGATCTGAAAGGTCTTTTCCAACCTAAACAATTCCATGACTATTACAGGTCCTGAGCATTAAGCTGTCCTGGGTCACTTCTCTTCCATTACACACGACAGCCAAACGCAAAAGGGTGAGTGGCCAAGCACAAGCAGACAGAAGAGGCACATCTCAGCCATGCCTCCAGAAACGGTCCTTCCCTAGACTGCACCAGTCTGTGGTTTGTTATCAGTCTGTCTTTTCGAGGAACCAGCCAGCTGGGTGAGCAGTTAGAAGCTTGGATGGCCCTTGGCTACCAAACCTGGGGGATGATCTCGTCCTCTCCAGTAACGGTCCAAGGATTCAGCATTAATTCAGTCTACTTGGCACTCAGGTATCCAATTCTTCCTATTGCCAATTACACGATGGGATCCCAGTGCTCCTTTGTGAGACTGGAGTATTTTTCATCACTTGGAAAACAGTCTGTTGCCCTATACAAATATCCCCTGTCTCGGCTCCGTGCTCTGTTACTTTCAACCGATAGTTTAGGAGAAGAAAATGCTTAAGGTAGGCTACACAGCTCCCTAAATGCAGAGCTCTTCGGACCCCTGTCAGCTCCGAGAGCTGCTTTGCAAACACAACCCCCTTTTTAATTGGTCACAGGCGGCTGCAGACATTCCCGGAAATCCTTGCAGGGAGATTAGCGCGGAGCCGACATTCTGCCATGGTGCTGGCACTGCAGTAATGAAGGATTTGATCACGGGAGGTGCTGAGGAGTTTCAATCCTCACTAAAGGGAAACAGACCCCATGCGTCACTTTGAAGATGGCATCGAGAACTTCACAGGGCTTGGTCCAAGGTAGGAATCCCTCAGAACAGAGTGGAGATGTGGTCTTCTCTGCATGGCACACCAGAAATCCCCTTCCAAGCTTTTCTTACCCCTGACAGACATTAATGCAGGAGCAGTAAAGATCTACATGGAAATTTCAAACCCATGCAACGTCAGCGAGAGGATTCCTCTCTCATTTGTTTGCCAAAACCTTAGCAAAGAGCTGCAATTCATCTCAAGAACTTAAGCCACACATTTTTCTTCCACTGAACACAATCACCTCTTTTAAATTATAATGAAATCCTTAATTCTTGAGTTCAACCCAAGGAAAGCTTGAAGAGGACAAGTAAGCCATGTTTCAAATCCAGTAAGGCCCTGAAGATTTTAGTCTCTTTTTCACCCACTATCATATTCCTTTAAACAAGCGTGTCAGTAGTATTTTGTATGTGCATACACTACATCACTCATCAGTGATGCTGGACAAAGCTGGACAACTTTAAATGTGAAAGCGTACATCCAGAGGGCTGTTCACTGTACTCCAGTTAACCTCTGGAAACTCAAATCATATGAACTATGAAGTTATTCATAGAGTAACTGCCCTGCATTTACGTCCAGGTTTCTATCCAGAGATCGTGCCAGGAAGCTTGCAAAGAACACTGCGTTGTGCGTTCCGGTCAGGGATCCTGGGCCCCAGGTTTCCCAAAGGATGGAAGTCCAAGGAAACTCATTTCTCAGGTACAACCCCAGCTATTCCTCCAGCTTCAGCACCTTCCCTCTTCCTTTAAAGACTTGCTTCACAAAAGACTTCTTTTTAACTGAATAAGCCCCTGCATACCCTTGGCTTGTTTCCTGTCACCGACTTCTTCAAAGAGTTCAGCGCTACCTGTTTGCCAGCTATTAAATACCTCGTGTTTGGCTGATGGACAAGCAGATAGCGCAGGACGAAGCAGAGCTCTGCACAAGCTGCTCTTGTTCCACTGCCTTCCTGAGCCAAAAAGAGGGAAAATCCCGGCAGGCAGAGCTGCACGGCAGTGCCATGGACTAGCAGAAACCTCTGGGCTCAGGCTCTTCTCCCCTCCACAGCAGAAGGTTAAACCTTTGCATCAGGAGACTGCTTATAAAAGTATCCAGACTTGTTGGCTGTTGGAGAAACGCTCTGCTTAATTTAGCCCTGGCATCGTTAAATGTGTCTTCTCTCCAATAAACTGACACCCGAAGAACCATTGCTGCTATTTCATCCCACAAATGGGCTTTAAATCAGCCTCATGAACTTTAAATCCATGCAAGACCAACACAATATCTCACTAGTGTCATTCTGGAATCAGCACTGGGGTCTCCCTGGTCCAGGGAAGTCACCTGAATCCAGCCAAGCATTGTCACCCATTCACGCTCTCTGGGGGCATCTTTCCAACTTGGAAAGAGGCTCCTGGGACCAAGTCTACAAGGTGTTTTCCCCTTTGCTCCCAAAGACAAAACCTTTCCCATTCCATCTCTGTGTGCTCTGCAGGCCCCTCTTTGGACACCACCTCTAGCCACAAGGCTGCTGCAAACCCTGCTCTCCCCTGCCTCCACCCAAGCAGCCCATGCCCTAACACATTGCAAAGGCTTCAACTGAACAGCTCCAGAGATCAGCAGGAGAAATAGGGTCGTTAGTCAATCAAACAACACGGAGGGCATGTCAAATGCTTGTGTAAATGAGGGCAGTGCTAGGAAAGAAAGAGACAATAATGGTCTCCTGAAGCGGTGACAAAGCCATTTGAGCTGCCCTTGCAAAAGCAGACACTAATCACGGGCCCTGCTTGCTTACAGTTGACCTCTCCTTTGTGCACAGCTAAAGAAGATTTGGGCTGGCCGATCCTTCAAAACGCAGCCGGGCTAATTAGGAAGGGTCCTGTCCCTGCAGCAACATTCCCACAGGGAGCCCCCGAGTCTGAGTGCTGCTGAGAGGATCCACTCCACCAGGAAAGGTTCCATAAGCAAACGCTGAAGCCGAGCAGCTGATTTGCAGCACGAGAGGCAGGCAAATAACAGCAAGCTTTATGCTCCCCATCCCTGCCACGAACGTTCCACCCCCCCGGTGAGTGAGGTCTCGGGCAGCACCGGAGCTGCTCCGCTGCTCGGGAATGCTGAGTTCACCTCAACCGGACCCCGAAGCCTCGGGTGGTCTGAGGATCCCTTGGGAAGGCTTGGAGCAGAGCCCAGGCTCCCAGCACCCCCTCCCTCCCAGCAACCAGCCCTGTGCAGAAAGGTCATTTACATCCAAGCTCAAAGAGGGGAGCTCCTAAAGAGAGCCTCAGCCCAAACCAAACCTCAAACACTCCATTTACAACCCTTTCATCTACCAGACATGGAAGATAACCAAGGAGTTTGGGACAACCCAGCTGCTCCCTCCATTCCGAAACAGTCTCTGCAGTCACTGTAATATTGCTCAGCTCAACCTCCTCTTTTTTACTCCACTATGGCAGGTTGGCAATGCCACACTGGGGGGGAGATAAATCCCAACAGTGACAGCACTTTACTGGATCAAAAAGCCAGAGAGGCAACAGAAAAGGTGTTGAAACCTGGATGGGTAAACAAGAAGTAGTGCAGACCTGCCTGAAAGAGCTCTCATGGCCCTATCAAGAGGTTTGCCTTCACAGTGAGAGGATTTAATGCAGATGGACAGTGCTCAACACTATCACTTCCAGCAGCTAGGGAGCCCAGGAAGGACAACGTCTCCCCCCTGGGAGCCAGACTGATGGGGTTCCGCCTGCTCTCCAGCCAGGGTAAGCACAGGACTGCTGCTGCTCTAGGCTGGCCAGTAAAAATATCCCATGCTGAAAGGTATGATAAGAGCCTGGCCAGAGCAGAGAGCATCCTGCCTTTAAAACAAACACACCCCTATTTCCTCCAGGAAAGAAAAAGTGATACCATTAAGATCAGACACTGAGATTTCTGGAAGATGGATGACACCACAGAATATCACCATGGAGCAACTCCATTCCCTCTGGGTTATTTTCACACTGCTTATTAAACAGCCTGTTTATCAAAGAGCCCCAGTTCAGCCCAGTAAATGCTGCATAACTGTTTTGGGGAGCTGTTTCTCAAGCAGGCATCACCACCTCCAATACCAGGATGGCTTCTTTTAGAGGTGGCAGGTGACAAAAAACCTCCCATCCTTAAAACCCAGCACAAATGCTGGCTGGCACCACAGAAGTTAACCACCCTGAGTCCTTTGAGCAGTGAAGGAGAAGATGGGAATGCAGACAGGTAGGTTTCCTCCAGGAATGTGTTGAAAAAGTATTTACCAAGAAAAAACATTTACAGGAGTCAGTAAGAAATGAAGCGGAAGGGAAGGATGAGTTTGTGGCAGGGATCTTCCCGTATCCTCCATCATCACATTCCCTGTGGCAAGGACTGTGGCTTTTGGAAAATGCTATAACTAATGGAAAGCCTTGCAGGGGTTGGACTACCTGACCTTCGAAGGTCCCTTCCAACCCAAACCACTCTAAGACCTTGCATCTGCCCTCTTACAACACAGTGCCAGGAGGCACAAGTTCCCTGAGCTGCTGAGCTCTGGTGGTGACCTTCCCACCCTGTGTCCTGGTCACTCTGGGGCTGGAGGGTTTTCTCTGACCCTGTGTGCAGCAGAGGGAACCCTTCCAGCTCTCAGGGGCTGTTTGCTATAGACTCTTATGGTACCAAATCAGAACATCTGTGAACCACCAAACACGGGAATCTCAATCACCTCCGGCAGAGCATTTGTATATCACATGAAGGTTAACTAAATAAGGCTTAGCCACCCCCAAATGAAGGCTAACCAGGACATCACTGATCCACCTGTGGCAGCCCATCGCCACGCTCCCCCAGGCCGAGCTTCACTCCGTAGGCCACGACCCCGGGGTTTCTTTGTTTGACCCAACTTTAATCAGCTTCCTTCTTGGATTCCAGCAAATCCCACTGCTGATGGCAGCCAGGAATAAAGGCTATTGTACAGTGTGGGGCTATGCTTCACAGCAAGTCACAATAAGCATTTCCTTTCCAAACATCCAAGCTCCCCAAACGTTACAAACAGTGGCCAAAACCAGGAGAGAGCAGATTATTGGAGTTCTGCAGATAAAACAGCGGCCAGGATAAAAAACACCACTGGGGCATCCCTTGTCTTTATCCTCTCCCCTTCCACCTGAAAATGAAAGGAAGAACACGCAAAGCCTCCTTACCGTACTGACAGCGGGGTCCTTGGAAGCCAGAGGAGCAATGACAGAGCTGCGATGATCCCTCTGCGCAGTTCCCACCGTTGAAACAAACCCCGTAGCCGCAGGCAGCTGCAGAGAGGAGGGATATCAGAATTCCCGAGATCAAGATGGGAAGCGTACATGCTCTAATAAACACCCATTCCCTGATGAAGTTCCCACTTAAAGTTCAAAGTATAGGAGGTAAAATACCTTGGGCAATGTCTAAGGGCTTTTTTTACAGTGCAGCTATGTGAGGATTAGCAGGAAAGCATCAGCAGAGCGGCAGGGCTGTTGATGGAATAACACTTTTCCAGCCAAGAAGTGGGCAAAATAGTCAGAAAATGGCTTGTGCAGAATCATATCAGGTAAGTTATTTAGTTTGAAATGGGATATACCTGTCAGGAATAAGCCCCTGGAAGTTGCTTCCCACCTCTCCACTGAGCTTTCCCAGCGACCCAAAAGCGGCGTCACCTTCCGAAGGGATGAGGGATGAAATAGAGCTAAACTGTAAGGAAGCCTGAGCAGCCACGTTTCTCTGTTCTCACCAAGTGAAGTGTAAAATGTACACAGAGACAGAGAATGCCCAATTAGGCTTCTGAAATCCACCTTTTCAAATCACCCAAATAAAAGCACAAACAAGGATGTGTTTTTCCAGTGAAATGTCTATTTCTCGTAACTCACACAACGCAGCCGAAGGTTTCGATTTCCACTAGAAAATGATCATCTTGGAAGGAGAAACACTGTGAACAAGCAGTGCTGTCATGTGTGCCGTGCTTTGTCAAAGTGTACGGACACAGAACAAGCTCCTATCTTCCTTTTTCTATGGGGAGCATGTGAACATGGTGCAAGAGATCCCACGGTACCGTCCAGCACTTCTCACTGGGAGCTGGTCCAGCAGTTCCCAGTCACCTATCCTGAGGTGCCTGTTCAGCCCAGGCTGCATTGCAGACAGCTCTGGTCCAAGAGCAGCAATGGGGACTGATGGATTACAGCTTAAGCATCCTGGCAAGGAATATGCTGCAACTGCCGACAGCATCACGGTCACCTGCGTGTTATTGGGGCCCTTGTGTCCTATTGATCCAGCTGATGGATCCAGAGAACACAATTATTTGAAGTATCTGAGATTACAAAAGTCAGACCAGGCAATCCAAAACCTGTTGGCCCAGAAACACAGATTGAGGAGGAGAAGCACAGAGCAAGCACTGATGGAGCTGCCAGTTACGGTGACTGAAGATGCTTCTGCCCTGCACAGAGCAACCTGCCAGCAGAGTAAGCCAACCATCAACCTGCAAACACATGCTGCATCCTTAGGAAAGCATCCTCTGCTGAAGCAGAGATGAGATTTGGCTTTAGCTTTAGTGGAAATAATAGGGGGAAAGATGACAGCAAGGTTTGTCTCCTGCTAGGAGAGTCAGGGTTATCCCAGTCCCAAGGCACACACTACTGGGAGCCAAACTCCTCAAACTTTGCACCTTAGATGCATTAGAGCTGAAATACTTGAGCCTCAGCTTTGGCTCCTTCAAGAACCTGATGATTTTTCAAATCCTGCCTCCAAAATAAAAGGATTATTTAGTAATACAAAGGTAGCATTGAAACTCAAACACTCACCCCCCTAAACTAATGAAACAGTGATGAAATGCTGGTTCAGAAACCCACTATCTTCTCATCTAATGTTTTAGTCTCTCCTCATAGCCACATATCCCTGGGGACCGTGGTGATCCCGTCTCAATCCCGTGCTGGGCTGCTGGTACAGAACACTGGAACCTGGGAATCTCTTTCCCAAGCTGAGCCATGCACGTGATGATCCCAAACCCTTCCCTGTGCCTGTCCTCCCACATGGCAAAGCAGAAGGAGCTCTGGGCAGTGACTGTTTCATTGCAACTTCCCATCTCCAGATGTGCACCAGGATCTGCTGGAGCTGCAGCCTCAGGTGTTGCTGGCTGTAGGCTTGCAAGAAGGGCTGCCTTCTGCTTTATGCCTTTTCTTCAGGCCCAAACACCGTTAGACAGAATTGACTCTGCGGCCAAACTTCACAGTGAAGTGATTTGGTTTTCCCTGACTACTTCACCTTGATCCCCTAAGAACCAGGTTTTAGGCAGGGGCCCAGGGAAGCTCAGCCTGTCTCCAGCCCTGTGTGCCAGCATCACTCAGCCCTCTGAAGCAGTTCAGTGAAACCCAAAGCACAACAATGGAAAATATGAGGAGCAATTGCAGCAACACAAACCAGGGATTAGAAGATACGGGTGTTATTCTTGGCTGTGCCCCAGAATTCCTGAATGAGCCGGACAATTCCCTGCTCTGTGTTTCAGGCTGGCACAGCCAGAGTGGAAATCACAACAACCCACTTCCCAGCCCAAGGGTGCCTGGGGGCCTGCGAGTCTCCCTCTCTTGTGTCCTCCAAGCCTTCTGCAAATCAGCTCCTAATTCAGAGCGACAGAATTTAATGGAAAGAAATTTGGGACTAGGGTAATGGCACTGTTGTGGGAAACAGGGAAGACAGGATAAATTATGGAAAGCATCACCGCCTTCTGCTTGAAAGGCCAGACAACACCTTTTGTGAGGAGTTAGCAAGGTGGGGATCTTGGGAAGACAAGAGATTGATTTAAAAGGCAGAGTGATGAGGAAAAGCACTTTTCCTTCGGCGTATGGGCTCCCTGAGGTACAACGTGGCCATCCTCTGCGTGGACAAAGATGGTCTCTTAGGGGAGCACACGGTAGGAGTCCAACCAACACCGAGGTTCAGAAGTTCAGGCAAAGCCTTTCAGCTGACACAACAATGAGCCTCCAGGAGCCAAGAGGTGAGACACAAAGGGAAGCCCTAACAGGGAAATTAAATGTTAACCCAACACGTTTCCTGCCGAGCCTTCCAACCTGTCCCCAGGAACAGGGCTGCTCCCCCAGCACCGGCTCCCAACAGCCCTGCTGCAGGCTCCTTCCCTAAGGAAGCCCAAAGCTAAGCAGAGCCGGCAGGAAGAGCCTCGGCTCAGTGCAGGGCCCTCGGTTCCAGAGCCTTTTAATGGCCCATTTGTGACTACTGAAAGTTTCTCTTTCAATGAGGCATTAAAATGCAGCTGCTTTCAGGGATGCGCGGAGGGGGTTTCATTGTCTCTCATCCTCCACGTCCCCACCAAAGGAGCATTAACTCTCTTTCTTTACCCAGGGCCAGGCTCTACCCTTGCCTGAGCTACAAATCAGAGCAGAGCCTGATCTGAACAAAAGACAACCGGGAACGGTGACTGAAGCCTTAGACCAGCAGCTCAAACCAAGCTTCTCCAGCAGCTACATGGAGGCACCAAAAGAGCAAACTACGCTGCTCCAGAAGCAGCTATCCAGCCACACAATGGCCAAGGTGCTTCTTGGCCAGGCTGGGCTCACTTAGGCTGCCCCGTTTCCTTCAGCCTGCTCATCAGAACTGGGCTTGGGTGTTCCCACCCACCTCTGCAGACACACTGAAAGGAGAGGCCACAAGGATTGCCAGACATGCAGGCCCCTCATCCTAATCAGCAAGGGCTTTAACTGCATTATTGAACCCATGTGGAATTTAAGTAGCATCTCAGAGGCCACTTGAAACTGAGAAGCTTACTCTGGAAGTCAATCTATCAGTAATCAAGCAGGGAAAGAACCTGATGCCATGCTAAAAATGCAGAGGGTGTCTTGGCTTCTGACCTTTTTCATTCCCAAAAGGACCGAGAGGATGAATGCTCCAGGACAGAAGGCAATGGAAGTGCAATAAGCCCTCACGCTCCTACAGAAGGCTCAGCTGGCCTTGGCCAGCTACACACAAGTCTACAGTGGTGAAAATTGCCCCTAAGAACACATGAGATGAGTTGATTTCTAAGTATTTTAAAGGGAAAGTGATGAAGAGGCCACAGTTTGGGGTGAGGAGAGCGCTGCAGTGATGGGATGCCAGCCTCCGAGGGAAGGCAAGATAAGATGTCCTTACTGGAGCGATTCCATCGTGTGGCCTCCGACAGCTCTAATTAAACTGTCAGCAGCAGCAGCCTTCCCCACCTTTGTACTCCTGGAACACGATCAATGATCTCTGGAGACAGATAGGAAGGGCCACAAATCCTGCTGACATATTTTGGCACGGCTTCGCTGCGTTCAGCACAGCTACACCAGTGATCACAGGCTGCCTGGCGGCTGCTGTGTGCAGAGTAGAAAACCCTCTAACACACATCATGCCCTGGGCCGTGTCCCTGCCTCAGCACTACACTAATACTTGGTGACTCATTTCCCCAGCCAGTCCTTCCTACACCTTCTTCTGGCCCAGGAGAACAAGCTGGTCAAGGCCACAGCAGGAAAAGCCATCACACCCCTGCAACCCGAAAGCTGGGAGCTCCTCGGGATGGGGGTTCAGTTATGCAGAAACCAGAAGCATTCCTTAGGAGAGTCTGAAGATCGGGATAGAAACTCCTGCATGGGCACCAGCCAGCAGAGCCATCCCATCTGCTCGGTCCAGGCTGTGGGATGCTCCTCCAGCTACGCTAGAGCAGCGCTGTCACGCTGTGCCATGGCACGGGATGCATCCGTGTCCTTCCTCCTGAAACACCATTTAACTGATCACATCACCCACATTCTCACTTTGAAGTATAAGGCTGAAAGGGTGGAAGCAAGGGAAAAGCCAGGACTTTGCAACCTGGCCTTCAGCTTACTCTGCAGCTGCAAAACATCCACTAGTTTGCCTGCTCTTGGGAGTAATACACAGCAGTGTAAACAAGACCCATTTAAAAGAGAGCAGCAGGAACTACCGACAGAGGCACGACAAGAAAATGAACACCAGCAGCACATCAGCACTAGTGTGACATTAACTGGGAGACTCAAAGAGCTGCACCTCCCTCTTGTCTATTCTTCCTCTTTCTGTTCTGACCCTGCAGCGAGCAGCCTGTGGAGACCATTGTCCAGCTTCCGCGTGCTGGTCCCAGTGATGAGGATGATGAGTTAAGAGCGTGCCCTGAGCAGCTTCATTTCCTTTTCCCTGCTTCCTTCCTGGATGGAATTACTCACTTCCTCAGCAGGAAAAGCCATCACAGCCCGCACTGGTCTGAGTTCATCTGAGGTGGTTATCCATGCGCTGACAGCGGGTTATTGGGCACCCATGGAGCTTCCTCCAGCACAGTGGGGTTGCTCTCCTGTGCTGCAGGCTTTTGAATAGGAAGAATAAAGATTGGCTGCTAGACACACCTTTTTCTTCTTGCCTTTCAAACCTTTGCTTCAAGCATCACAGCACACGGAAGGCATACGCAGCTTCTCTATGGAACAAAAGGTGACTACCCGTGGGAGACATTTTCCTACATTGTGGGTCAATTACAACCTAAATCACCTTTACAATGGAGCTGGCCACAGCAGCTTTCATCCCCTTGCTGGCAAGGCAGGTTGGATCCCAAACCCTTTGTTGGTTTGCCTGCCTATTACTTAAAAAGAAGCTGCTTTTCTATAGTGCAGGCAGGAGCACACCTCCAATAGTGTAATTGAGAAAGGATCAGAGCTCTAGTATGCAGCCAGGCAGAGAATTAATAACACAGCGCAGGGAGCCTGGGTGATTCTGCCTTGATGGTGACATTTATTCCTACACACATGCTCAGATAAGCCTTTGTTTGAGTCAAGAGAAGATTTTACTTTGCTCTCCACACCTGAGAAGAAAAGACCAGAATTTCCCCAGCAGGATGTGGCTGATGGGATGCCTCAACATCCCTTGCTGGGTCCCACAAGGACCAAATGCTCACCCTTTGGCTATGGAGGGAGCAGGTGATGGAGAGGACAAGGTGGGTCTCGAGTTCAGCGAGTATTCAAGTAACAGTTATAGCACCCAACACCCCTCCCTTTCCAAAGTAGCTGAGGAGCCTCATCCCAGTCAGTTAAGAGATGAATCCCCCTCTCACCCATGGTTTGGAGTGGGAATGACCAGGGACCAGGCTCCAGTGAGGAACCAATCCTTTGGGAGTGGAGCACCGAAGCCAAATTCCCCAGCAATTGGCCAAAGGCTGCCTTTTCCAAGGAAGCATCTCTAATGAATGCTGAGTAAAACCAACCAGCCGGCACATCATCCGTCACCGGCACGTTCAATCACACAGACAGCAATTACTGGCTTTTATAATGACAAGCCCACTCAGGGCTTGGAGTAGAGCTTTCCAGAGCTTCTGCCAATGGCACTACTTGAAGCACCAGTTTGGGCCTGATTTTATGCATTTAGTAGCGTTTGGCAATGGGAGGAATGAATGTGACTGAAAACCCTTCCGTGCTGCAATGAGGAAATGGGAAAACCAGGAAGCAACACACAGCACTTCCTGGGAAGCCAGAGAAAACCCCCCTGATGCACAGGTGAAAGGAATACAAACAACAAACCGCCCACCCCAGCTCTTTTTAAACCCTTTTTTATACCATTTACTGCAGGGATAGGGCTTGGACTGAGCATCCTCAGCCAAAACCCAACCCTGCCAGCAGCAGATGGAGACTCGCACCCGAGGAGCACCATACTCACGGTAGAGGCAGCCGGCATCGCCTCCAAGCTGGGACCACCCTGGACAGCACTTGTACGTGGTCTGGTACGTCACCTTGTAGACCTGCCTGTAGCCCGTGTAATAGCCAGTTCTGAAAGACAACAAAGCCAGATTCCACCCGGCCAACGTGAATTCCTGCGGAACACGGGAACGGGAAGGCTGTAACTCTACCTGCGGGTGCACACAGAGGCAGGAATTAGGTTTTCAAATGTGCTGACATTTTTGTTCCACCTGGTCTAGCAACAACTGCTGATGCCAAGGAAACACTTATTAATGTGCTCCAATTGGGAAGAGGAGAGATGAGCGGCCAGGTCCTATAACACCCCTGACTCTTCTCCTTTGCTAAGCGGTTTCACAGCTCCGAGCTCCTCTCAAGCTACTCATTCGTAAAGGAAATGTAAATGTTAAGGTAGTTCAGTCCGTTCTGGTGAGCACAAGGGGGTGTCTGAGCTAAAAAAGCATCAGAATCCTGATGGAGATATGAAAGACTATGAGGGTGCTGAGGAGCTGGCACAGGGCGCCCAGAGAAGCTGTGGCTGCCCCATCCCTGGCAGTGCTCAAGGCCAGGTTGGACACAGGGGCTTGGAGCAAGCTGCTCCAGTGGAAGGGGTTGGGGCTGGAGGAGCTGTAAGGTCCCTTCGACCCAAACCATTCCATGATTCCATGACTCAAAGCTCATCACTTAGTTGTGTTTTCCACAGCCAGGCTCGGCAGAGCCAGGACACTGCGCTCCACTGGGGGCTGGAGGTCCCTTTAACAACTCCTTCCAGTGACTTCCAGGGTGGGATTTGGGGCAGGGAAGCAGGGATTGATCTGAAGCACAAATAAACAGACGCGACCCTTTCCCCTCCCCGGAAATTCGCTGTTTTGTGTCTGGGAAACCTGAAACAGGGACCACGTTTGAAGCTGATTCTCAAAAAGCTCCTTTGGCACAACATGAAACCGAGTGCACCAAAGCGAAGCGGACAAACAACAACAGCTCTTGGGTGCCGCAGATGTGTTGTACGTGTCCACTGGAAGCATTTACCCCAGCTCAGTCTGGCTCTTTGGGTTTGCCTGGATGCTTGCACAAACCCCCCCCACTAAATCACAGCGAACCATCAATCCCCATGCAGCAGCCCTGTGGCTGCTCTCCTGTGCCAACCAGCACATGGAAGCACAGCTGACAAACAGGAGCAGATACCGATGCTTCCCTGGACGAGCTGTTAACTAATTCAGAAGGAAATAGTTGTGTCCCAGAAGCAGCTGAGAAAGCAATTTGCAGTCCCTCAGGCACCAGAGCAACCAGCAATTGGGCCTGGGTCCATCTGGACTCACATGGGACTCTGAGTGATCTCCCAGCCCAGCCCATTATGGCAAACACAGCATCCTGGGAAGCAGGAATGGACACAGTGGATGCCACAGGGTGAAAAACACCATTCTATCCATGCATGGCAGTGAGCAGCCTGTTCCATAGCCCTGTGTAAGGTCAGAAATGAGGAGGAAAAGGTACCGCAAGAATGCAGCTCAGCTCAGGGCTCCCTTCTGCTCCCTCACACCCTCATCTCCATGAGCATTTGGACACTTTACATCCTTAACTCTGCCCAAGTGGGTTCTCGAGGAGATGCAAATACTTTGCCAGGCTCAGCTGCCTGCAGGTATCCGGATGCTGCAGACTGGAGAGAACTGCAGAGGTTCTTTATCTTCAGTGGTTCCGTTTTCCTTTGTGCTTTAAGGAGTCCCTGGCACAGAAAACACTGAACAAGCCAGAACTAATGGAACCCAGGCTTGAAAATCCTGCTGCTGGGAAACCGGCATCCAGCCCCTCCGGGGCAGTGCTGCTGCTCCTCCAAGTTCCATTACTTCAGGGGGAGCAAAGCTACCTCCTGTCATTACCTAATTCAGGAAGACTGCACAATCAGTAGCAAACCCATCACATTCCCAGGAATAGCGGGATGTGCAGCCCAGGGGATGCTCTGTTCAGCTGCCGAGGAGCAGACAGGCAGGGCCCACATCCTGGGATGGTGCAGAGCAAGGTCTGTGCTCACTTTTAGGTAGCATTGCAATCCCATACATGCAAGTCCTCTAAAAGCAAATGCTTCTGGTTGCAGAATGCACAAACTCAATAGAAAACCACCTCCTGTCCCCAGTTCACCCCCTACACTGCACTTACAGGCACAGCGATGGGGCTATGGCAGAGTCCGCAGCACTCTGAGCATGCCCATGGATTTTAGGACACTAAATACACATAGGACACATAGCTCTAACACCTATGGATATGGCACATCAGCAACTGGTGCTGCTCCTTGCCAAGCAGCCAAGTTGGGCAGCGGCACCGAATGATATGCCAGGAAGGGAAGAGCAGATGCTGGATTTTCCTGGCTGCATCCATGTCCTCAAAGGCACCAGGAGCAGTTCCAGGCCAGCCCCGTGTGTGTCAGATCCTGAAGCTGTTAATGTGCTTCCTGCTCCCGGTGCTGCCAGAGCCGGGTCCAGCTGGAGCAGCTCCAGAGGGAGCATCCCTGGGAATGCTGAACCCGTGCTCTGCTGCCCTCGGCCGCTCAGCACAAGGGAGCTTGGCAGGAGAGCTTCCACCTATTGGGATAAGTTCAGAGGGAGGGGATATGGGACAAAGCCCTGCCTGGGGGAAGTCCTGCTCATAGTCCTTTCTATTCTAAATGCTTTTGGAATTCCTTGTGTGAAATCCCCCGTAGCACCTCCAGGCTTCACCTCTGTATTCCCACCAGGAACACAGGTTTAGCACTAGGCTGTTCTGATCTCTATAATGAAGCACAACAGAGGTTTTTCACTTCAGTCCCTTGACTTACAGCCTCAAAACCAGACATGAAAGGACCAAAGGGGCATCTGGCTCTGAAGAGTTCCCAGCCTTTGAAGCAGGAGCAGACAGGGCACCTCCCATTTCAAAGTCCCCTCTTTAAACACAGCCAAAAGAGGGACTCTGTTTGCTCCTCTGGAACCACCACACAGATATCATCACCACAGTAATTACCGGCAATTACAGGTTAGGAGGAATTCCTCAGGCCAAGACTTTAAAGCTGTCTCTAGTCCAAGATGCTGCTTTGAAACTACTACTGCAGTGAGTACTTTGGGAAGGCTTGTAACCGGCTGCTGAGGCCGGAGGGGCAGGTGGAGCAAGGAGAAGATGGGGCACAGCAGTGTGCCCACTGCGGAGGTGACAGGTCCATTATTTGTCCATTATTCACAGTGCTGCCCACGCTCACAGCCCCTCCTGCTTGCTACGACTCCTCTGAGGGTACCACACAGTTACCGGGGCTGGTCCCCCCCAGGCACACCATGGGCTCCCCCCAACCCACACCGGGGCAAGAGCACTCACCTGCGCTCGTAGCCGGCGCATCGCCGCCGTGCGCCACACTCCTGCTTCCACACCTGGACGCTGCGGGTGAAGGCCTGGACACGCGGCTGCCGCTGCCCCACGATGAGCAGCTCCGGCTCCGCGCAGACGTTTGGCCTGGACAGGGAAGCAATGGTGAGGGGGCCGCTTCCCGAGGGCCAGGCTGTGCCACGCACGGGAGCCGCCTCCTCGTCGCATTGAGTCAGTGCAGGGACAGGGAACCTGCCAGGGCAAGCGGCTGCCAAATGCAGCCCATGCACCCCCCAAGGCACTGCGGTGCGATGCGCTGCTGAGCAGGCTGCGCTACCAGTGAAGCACACAGAGCAAAACCAGCACCTCAGTCTCTCAGGAGCATGTCTTTAGGCTTCAATGAATCAATAAAACACCACAGAACCACACAGCGAACATCACAAACCCGTCCTTACAGATGGAAAATGTCCATTCCATGCACTCTGGGTTAATGAAGAATGCATGTGCGCTCTTTGCACCTAGGGGACTGGTTTCCTGACTGTTTTCAATGCAAACACCAACGACATCTGCATCTCCTGACGGGTTGGAAAACAAATTATCCTGCCACTAGAAATGAGATATTGTTTTGTTAATAGTGCTTCAGATTAGAATTCAGTCCGCTTAGATGCTTTCTCACTCATTCAGAGCTAAGGGCTGTAAAACTAATGCCATTAAGTAAGTGAACTGAGGGAGTTCAGGAAGAGAATGAAGGAAGCACCACTTGCATTTTATTTCTTTCTAAACCTAATGCTCTTTCACCATGATTTTAACTAAGAGGAGGGAAACGTTTGTCTCTGACTCTGTAAATTACGAGCCATTCATTACTCGGGATCATTCTTGTTGCTTCCAATCCTTTCACACAAATACTCCTATAGGAGAGGTTTCACTCAATGCCCTGGATGCATCCAGCACATGGGGCTGCTGCAGGGCATTCGCTGCCTCTGGCAGTGCCTGTGGGATGAGAGCACATCTCCTACTCCCCAGCACTGCTCCCCTCATCCCCATGCGTGGCCACGGCTCCACACACATCACTTGAGCAGCACAAGGGCTGCAGTGAGGCTGTTTCATGCCCCCAGTGTCTCCACACAGGGATTGCTGTGAGCTGATGCTGGGGGGGCCTCACCTCCGAGCGTCCGCGCATCCTAAACCAGGGCTGGAAGGATCCCATGGGCCCGTCTGGCAGCAAAACCCTGCGGGGGTCATTTATTACAGAGAAGAAAGGGTCCTGTGTGCCCCAGAGAGTGGCTGTGTGTGCAGCGGTGCCCTGTGGGAAGGGACAGCACTTCCCAGGCGCTGCTGCTTTCTTTTCTCCAGTGCCTTGGCACGCATCCCTAGGGGCTCATCCAAGAAGTTCCTAAAAGGAGCTGTCGAGGCAGGAGCACAAAGGGAGAGAAAGCATCTTCCTGTGGGACCTTTATCTGCTGAAAAGGGGCCCTTATCAACCAGCAAGTCAAAGCCATCCGGAGAGCAGCTTGGAGCTGGCACACGGCGCGATGCCGCTTCATTACCCAAGGGATTAGGGCAGCCCCCCCTGCACGGGGAGATCCCCTTCTTGCAGGGGAGCAGACCCACAAGGGAGCTTTCCAAGAAGCCAAAGGAGTAGCACCCAACGGTGACTGTAACGGGTAACTGAACGGAATGGGCTGCGTGCTGCTGCCGACAGCGAAAGGGGGAAGGACCATGCGTGAGGTGCCATAAACCCAGCAGGCCTGGGAGGAAAGGTCACAGCATTCCCACTACAGTCACCTCCTGCACTCACACAATAGGCACCGTGGCTGCAAAGAGCGTTACAGCAAGCAAAGACTCTGGATTCTCAATGTCTCTTCCCCATTCTGTCCATCTGCCAGCAGAGAAAGCAGCACAGGACCCCCCTCCCCTCACTCTCCTGCTCTTTCCTTCCCCCTTAGGCTGAAAGTACCACATTTAGCTTCTGCTTTACACTTCCCTGCCCTACAACCTCCCTCCCCTCAAGGATGCTCTTATTGCTACTTACATATGGGGCTGGAGCTTGCTCCCAGAAGCAAGAGAGGACACTCGCAGGGCCAGGATGAATGCCAGTGCTGCTGCATGAGACCCCATTGCACCCACAGTGCTTCCAATGCCTGGAAAACCTCGGAGCCCTCTCTCCTGCTCCTCACAGGACACTCCTGCTCCCAGCTCGCTGGTGTACTCCTCTTCTAAAGGGAATGCTATAGGAGCACACGGGAATTCTCGCACAGGGAGCTCAGGTTCATCATTCCTGGATGCTTGCTCCTGCACCGTTCAGCTCAGCAAGTTTCCTGGGTCCATGGGAAGTGATCACAGCGCAGGCTGTCACCGGGCTGTCCCCCAGACCAGACCTGGCTTCCTTCCGATGCTCATCTGCTCGCAGTGAAGGGCACAGGAGTGACTTCTCCTTCTGGCATTTGCTTCCTGACAGAGCCCAAAGAGCCGGGGGCTCACAGGACCCGGGTTCCATCCAGCAGCGAAGCCTCCTGTGGGTCTGGAGCCGGTTTGGAGCCGTGATCCTCTTCACAAGGCAACGTCAAAGTCAGCACCCGGGAAGGGAAAAGCCTCTCCTGGGCACGGAGCACTCCAGCTCCCGGAGCAGGCAGAGCTCCTTTATCCCATCTGCATCCATGGAGCCATCCCCTGCTGCTCCGCAGCTCCCACCTTCCTCTGGAGCCGGGATGGAGCCCCGCACGCACTGAGAGCAGCTTCCCAAGGCAGTAACTGAACTTCCCTCCTGCCCTTCCCAGGGCCGGCTCTGCTCCCTCACATGCTCTCTTGTTTCTCCTCTTGCTGACAGCCACAAATCCCTCCCACCGGAGAGGAGGGGGAGACCCTGCGGAGCAGTAGCAGCCTCATTCGGGCTGCTTTCTCCAAGGCAGCTCTTTTGCACTACCCGAGGCCAACGCCGCGCACACCCCCCAACCCTTGTCCAGCAGCTCCAAGAATACCCCGCAGAGCTTGAATCTCCTCCTCTGTGCTCCAGCAGTAACAGAAAGGACCAGTTCCCAAGGAATAAAGGCCATAAACGAGCCAAGGACACATCCGACCTGTGCTCGGTGCTGTTAACAGCCAGCTCTTGGGGTGGTGGGGAACACACCAGGCAAAGAGGGACTTGGGGAACAAGGTGAGATTCCTGCCTGCCTTTCCCCAGCAAACTCCCTGCTCCATAAGGAAACAGCACGAGCAGAGGCACTGGTAAGGATGTTGCTGGAGCTGGGAGACAGCCCACTGGCCCCTGTGAAATAGAGAACAGGAGGAGAAGTGCCAAGCCCAACACTGAGCTGGTTCACTGCAGTTTCCTCTTGCAAAGAACTGCCATGAGCATCAGTTGTCAGGCCTGGCAGAGGGCTCCTGCCATCCTTCCTTCCTTCCTTCCTGCATGGAGGGATGGATGGCGATGGATGGGGATGGATGGGGATGGATGGGGATGGATGGGGATGGATGGGTGCGTGGCAGCTGGGACAGCAGGATGGGGAAGAGCAGGGCAGAGCAGGGGTGCTGCACTACAACTCTCCCACCTCAAGAGCATGCAGCACCCTCTCCCCAGGGTGAGGAGGAATCAGTGCAGCTGCAGGCCTGATCTATGGCACATACAGACCCTGCGAGAGCAGGAAGGGAAGGTCTGGGTCATTGCAGTGCCCACACCACACATTTTGCCACCATTCCATCAGGACTTAATGCCACCAAGGAGCTGGGCCCAAGAGCTGGCAGCTCACAGAAGGAAGCAGGCAGCTCCTTTTTGCACCCCAACCCTTCCCAAGTCACAGGACTTGCACAGATCCCCCGGGTCGGAGCAGAGCGTGGGTAAGAGGGGCTGATGCTTCCACTTAAAGTGAAGTATCTGCCAAGCAGAGCAGATGGGAAGACAACACCGTTCATTCTTCCTAGAGAAGAAAGGCAGCTCCATCAAGATGTTTTATAACGATGGGAGAGCTCCAGGGCACAATAAATTCAGGCCTCCGCCTTCCTGTCCGGACGTTGAACGTCAGGACTCCTCTTACAGCAGGGAATGCCAGGACTGCTCCCAGGGACTCTTCCAGCCCTTACTTCTGCTACCCAAGAGGTTTCTTTGCACTCGGCCGTCCTCGCTCTGGGTCCGACCTTGCTGAATGCGGTACCTGGAAGTGCAAGAGGTGAAAGCTCAGGGCCCTGCAAGGGGCAGGGCACAGACCCTGACCAGATGCCCACCGGCACGAGGGGTCAGAGCCGTTTGTGCTCCTTGTGCTCGGAGGGAGCAAGCACGGAACAGGCAGAGCCTGGAGTGTGGCTCCCTCTCCAGGACACAGCCGGGGATGCGGATCCAGCCCCTCCTCAGCTCCCACGCTGGGCCTCAGGCAGGGCACAACTTAACCAGGCGGGTCCGGGCTGGTCTGGCTGCAAGGGGCAGTGGCGTGGTCACCCCCCGGGCTGTGGCCATCCCTCGGCCACCACCATCCATCCCCTGGGCCAGGACCGTCCATCCCCTGGGCTGCCTGCAGGGAGAAGAGGACGCTCTGATGCAAGAGCTGCGCTTTGCAGCGTTCAAGGCTTCCCAGCATTAAATCCAACCCTGTAACGCTTTTATAAGTCACCTTAAAGAAAGCCGCGATGCTCCCCATGTAAACAGGCTCGTGTGAGCACGGGCTGCAGCGAGCCCAACAGAGACCTCCTGTAGCACGCGTGAAAGATGGGTATCTGCGACCCCAGTGTCAGCGAAGTCAATTTCGCGCGTTCCCAACGGGGTACCACTTCTCAGCGCTGCGGAGGGCGGCACCCTCCGCCTCCGGGTCAAGCAGCCCTGGGAAGCGCTCAGACAGAGCACGAAGAGGGCCAGCACGTTCAGGAACGCCGGGCACCGCAGGACAAAGGCCAGCGCGGCCTCCATCCCCCGCGCTCTGAGCTGCAGGATGCGGTGGGGGATGCGGTGGGGGCCGCGGGGTTCCGCAGGGTCCCGCCGCCCTCCTGCGCTCCCCCCCCGGAGTTACCGCGGGACTCGGTGCTCCCAGCCCCGGTTCCCTCCGGCAGCGGAGCCGCTTCCCGCGCCGCTCACGCGTGCCCTTTGCGTTCCCCGGTCCCGCCCCCGGCGCGGGGCGGGCTCGGGGGGGGTCCCGGTGCCGGTCCCGCCCCGGAAGGCACCGAGGGCCCGGCACGGCCGCGATGCTGCAGCTCCGGGACGCGGCCGAGGGCGGCGAAGGGGACGGCGGCGGGGACGGGGGCAGCCCCGCGGCCGCGGTGCTGGTGCCGGGGGAGGCCGGGCCGCTGCTGCCGCCCCGGCAGACGCTGCGGCCGGTGTCGGTGCGCACCGCGACCCGCGGCGGCCGCCTGCGGGAGTACTTCGTGTTCCGGGTACGGCCGCGCCGCCGAGGGGGGGGGGGAGCGGGGGGAAGCGGCGGGGAGCGGCCCCGGCAGCCGGTAACGTGTCCCCCCCTTGCCCCGCAGCCCGGCACCATCGAGCAGGCGGTGAGCGAGATCCGCGCGGTCGTGCTGCCCGCCGAGGACGGGGAGGTGCAGAGCGTCTGGCTGCTGGCGGAGCGCTGCCCCCCCCCCCCCCCCCCATGGCCTTCCCTCCATCCTGCCCCCCCCGGCTCCCAACCCGCACATCCCCGCTTTGCTCTGCTTTAACTGCTCCTGGTTACCTGCAGAACAGCAGCCCCGCAGAGGCCGAGGCTGGCTGCATCGTGCTCCTGTCCCCATGCAGCCCAAACCCACCCAAGGGTGAGATGAAGACCCTGAGTTAACTTGCTCCAAAATCCTATGCCCCTAAGAGTTAAAACATAATCTGCTCCTGGGTTGCCCTAACATTGAGACTGTATTATAGCTGTGATGGTTCAGCAGCAAGTAGAGGTAAAATCTTTTATCCATGAAATGTGAAGAAACAGACAAGGTTTTCTGTGTACAGGCTGTTCTTACAGAGGAAAAGGCTGTCAGACCACACACGTAAAGGAAACTTTCCCCTGAGCATGCACCACTGCAGTTAATTCAGCCAGCATGGCAGCACACTAATGGTGTGGTGTTAAACACTCTAGCACTGGTGAGGGCTCATCTGCCCTGTTTAGGAGCATTTGTTCTCAAATAGCACCTCCAAATCCTCAGGCTTACTAAGAAAATCAGAGTATTCCCTTTTGTGACACTCCTGCTCCTGTCGGACTTGCTGACTCAAAGCAAAGGCCCTGATGGAATGGGTTCATTCTCCTTTGTGATTCCTCTGCCCATGACCAAGACCACTAAAGCTCAGTCCTGTTGCCTTGCCAGGATCGATCACTGGAACAACGAGAAGGAGCGTCTGGTTCTCATCACAGACTGGTCCCTCCTCATCTGCAAATACAACTTCATCAGCCTGCAGTGCCAGCACGTGACGAGGATCGCCCTCAGCGCCGTCGATACCATCTCTGTCGGGCAGTTCGAGTTCCCATCTAAGTCTCTGAACAAGTGAGTTGATGCAGTAACGCTGCAGTGGGATTGTAACTCCTGTTGTCACTGTGATAAGTCAGAGCTGTCAACCTTTGCCCCTCCCTGATTGCTGGCCATGGCTGAGAGCTCTCCTTTTGCTCACCTGACTTCACAAACTATTGCTCAGCCTTACTGTAAGACCTCGGAGTAGCTGCTATTTTGCAGGGGCAATCAGCAGTTATATTAAAAGCAAGTTGCTCAAGGACTTTCAACGTAAGATGAGCAGATTTGGGAGCAGAATTTCATTGCCATTAATATTCAAGGCCAGGCTGGACAGGGTCTAGTGGAAGGTATCCCTGCCTGTGGCAGGGTGTTGGAACTGGCTGAGCTTTAAGGTCCTTTCCAATCCTAATGTGATTCTATGTAGTGCAGGGAGTAGTAGCAGTAGTAGTACCACCTTAGCATTACTAGAAAGCCATGTGTAAATGTCAGGTCATACATCAACACAGGCTGTTACAGGCAGTGCAGTTCAGATGTTGGGTCCTGGGCATCTAACAAGCATCACCTTCTTGCCTCTACCTTATAAGAAGGTATCTTTGCGTATTCCAGAGGCCAAATTCTTCTCTTACTGGTCTAGAGAAAACACTTACTACCAAACTTGTATTTCAGCTTCCAGTTCTAAGTCTGTCTGCTTCAGACAGCACGTTTCCAGCTAAACTGGCCTCAAAGAGTCCAGTCTCACCCTGTTACTTCTGCTGTCTTCAACATCAGGCGAGAAGGTGTCGGGATTCGAATTCAGTGGGACAAGCAGAGTCGCGCTTCCTTCATCAACAGATGGAACCCGTGGTCCACCAGCATCCCATACGTCACCTTCACTGAACACCCCATGGCAGATGCTGATGAGAAGGTGGCCTCCCTTTGCCTGGTAAGGAACTGGCCCCTCCTGCTCTAGATGGGTTGTTGAGCTCCTAGGCTGGGCATAACTTGGATGATTTTGGAGAGATACAGCAGTTAGAGAGAAGCAGTTAAGCCAAAGAGATGGATCCTTCTCTGATTTACCCAACTTCTAGGACTAACAGCTAAATAAACAGTTTAATTGCTGACTGCAAACCTTCACTTAGGTGGTTCTCCATTTTACTTGCAATAGTTGCTTTCCCTTAAAACCAGAACACTGTAGTAATCTATGGTCAGCACATCAGTGATAAGGGCAATTAGAAATAAACAGCATTAAGTCACTGGTAAATCTTTACACATCTAGGCCATGCATTTCAGTTACACATAAATAGTGTCCTGGTATTAACTGTATCATGAAGGTTAAATGTCAGAACATAAAGTTTATCATGGCATGGCATATACATAATGACAGCAGTGGCATTCAGCCCTTACAAGTCAATGCAAAGGCTGATGAGCACTAGCTGTTTATCCAGCAATCTTCAAAACAAAGGAAAAACACCAAGGTGACTTTTTTCTTTCAGCTGGAGAACTTCAAAACTCAGCTCATCCAGGCTGTGAAGAAAGCCCAGAAGGAGTCTCCATTGCCAGGAAGGGCAAATGGTGTGCTTGTGCTGGAGCGTCCTCTGCTGATTGAGACCTACGTGGGATTGATGTCCTTCATCAACAACGAGGCCAAACTTGGCTACTCCATGACAAGAGGCAAAATTGGATTTTGAAACTCATCATGGGGCATGTTTTCAAGGGCAAGTGATTTGGTATGGGGCTGGGAGAGCAGCAAAACATCAGATAATCAAAGTGAGGAAGTCAGGGGAGCACGAGGAGGGTGGAGAACTGGAGGTTCATAGGAGGCCTGAGTTGTTCTGAGAACACACAGGCCAGGTTAATCTGACACAGGTAGTGTCACTCATACCGTGTATTGGATTTGCACAAGGCTAGCTAGCAGCAGTTATTTTTCATTTCTAACTATGTGTTCTTCTAACTAAATGTTAATTAAGGGCAATGGGAATCTGCAACAACCACTCTGCAGTTTCCAAGACACAGCAAGACATTCATGCCATGTTACAGCTGTCTCCCTGTGAGTGCTGTCAACCACTGCAGTGTGCTTGGGCTTGATTCACATTGTTTAAAGAGGTGGTAGTGGTCACAGTTCCAGGTACCTTAGCACTTAGATTAAGGCCTGTGAAGTCATCCTGTAGCTAAACAGTCAGCTAACAGTGTTAAACCCCCCTGTTGCATCGCTCAGAAGCAGTCCACACGAGCTATGCCTGAATAGGACTTTATTGGCTTCCTAACTTGTTGTGTGTGTGCTTGCTGTAGCCACAGAATAAAGACTTTATTGAGAGAATATTGCCAAAAGCCCTTGCCAACACATCTGCCTTCAATGCTATTATTTATAAAACTGAAAAGGAATTCTATTTTGATTAGATTTATATTCTTAGCAGTTTTTCTTAAGTCTGGGAGAACAGCAGGGCAGGACTCATCCTGGAGCCCAGTAAAACTTTGGTGCTAACCTTGATTTACACTTCACCTAATATAGATGTCCAGTAATGAAATGCAGAAGCAGCATAAGAGACTGCAAAAGCAATTGCGCCCGAGGTTACTCTGACCACCTCTTCCATTGCGTGTGACCTTCTAGGTGTGCTGTTTATCAGAGCATTTCTCTGCACAACTGCAATGCTGAATAAATGCTGTGCTGCAGTGGTAGCTTTTGGACTAAGATGTGCTTTTATGAAACCTCTGTAAAGCTGAAATCATGATGAAATGCAACAAGCTGCATGCCCCTCAATGCATTTTCTATGATACCTGTTTAATTATAATTAATCTTGCAGTAAAGTTAAATTTTAACTCAATTTGATTGTTTTTCTTCATTGTGGGGAGACTGAGCTGTGAAATTAAGTAGCAAAGAAAAAACATGCAGTAAACTCCTCAGCAGTGGGCTCCCTTCCTCTGATGGATCCACCAGCCAGCTACATGGGTTACAGAGACAGGACAGAGCAACTGCTCTTTCCCTGCCCAACCATCCACTCCTATCTGGCATTAGGCAGTTGGGTCAAAAGCTCCCATTTCAATTGCCTTTAGTGCATCATTCTAAAGTATCAGTTATGATCCCTCTTATTAAGTATAGTAAATCTATGGTAGACCAGGTGCAATTATAGTCACCTGTTAATACCTTAGTCTGGAAACTACTGCAATGACTAGAAAGGACTTGATTTGCTTCTGAACACAGAACTTGCTCTGCTTTAACACTAATTGATTCCCTAGAAAGTGTGTTCCTGGTGTATCTACTTCCGTTACAGTATTTAGTTCTAATACACCAGAAAGATCTGTTGTCTTACCAGCCTGGATTTATTGGTGTGTGCAAGTAACTGTCTTCTTGTGCTAGGATTAATCACCTCACTAATAACAGAGAAACGGATTTCAGGATGGAGTTAGAGTCATTGCAAGTCTGTAACTATTAAAGCATTTATTAGAAATTATAAAATTTAAATAGCTATACATTATATACACACAGCTATAGTTTTAGGTCCAAGAGAAAGTTCAAAGACATAAGTACTACAGTTTTCTTGCAAGCCACATCTCATTCTCTACACACAGTTGCTACATCACTTCATTCAAGTGCAATCACAGTACTTCACACACTGGAGTTTGGGTAGGCTCCTTCAATAAATAATCCATAAATACAAGAACTCACACTGGGCAAAAAGGTTTGGCCCCGTCCTCATTCCTCCTCAAGCTTGTGAGCAGTTTAATGCACAGGGTTGTTACTTTACCTCTTCTCTTTCCAAGTAACAGACACAAAAGTTGTCCTTACTTAGAAGTACCATGGAGTCTCCACTGGAATGCCAGGACAGAGACACAATTGGGAAGTCACCTACAGAAACAGATCAGCCTGATAAGTGGGAGAATAGTTAGTTAAGTGAAGGTGCTGATGGCTTGTGAAGCTCCCACAGACCTTACCTTCCACTGGGACCTGCACAGACACACAGCCGGCTGCAGACCACAAGTAGACATTACTATTCCCTGTGCATACAGCCAGGCGGGGTTGTCGGGGGTCCCACTGGAAGCACTGGATGGCACACAGCTGCTCCAGGACTACAAACAGCTTCAGCTTTTGAATGTCCCAGATCCAGACAGCATTAGGAATGTTATCTGTTGGAAAAGGAAAAGGTAATCATGTCAATACCCAAAGGATAAAAAAGTAGTGCGGTCTTTTTACAACACGGGCACTACTGATGTCTAACACAACACAAACCATTTGGGTACACTATGGGTGTAACACCACTAAAGTTTTGCCCAGCACTGCCTTCAGTTTTGCCTTGGAAATACTGCAAACAGGATAAAAAGTGACTTAGTTTGTCTTCCAGAACCACAGCTTCTGTGACACAGACACAGGCAGCCCTTTAGGAGCAGAGAAGGGAAAAGGTTCAAGTTAAATCAATGACTCTCACCATTTGAGGTAATCAACACCCCCTACTACAGGTTATGAAGAATTCTACCTTTCAGTAAACACTGCTGTAAATGGAGGAGGAAAGTTGCATCCTTCATTTTCTAATACAGCAAACTCACCTACATTTGAAGAGATATAAAAAGCAACCTACCCATTAAATACAAAGCCAAGGCCGAGTTAATGCACTGATGAGCAGCTCTGGCAGCTCACAACACTATGTACACTATAAGACATAGGCTGAACTTCCTCTGTAGTTGCATGTTTGCACAGCAGAGCTGATTTCAAACCCCACATGCAGTGAGTAAGTTCTCTCTCCAGTGTAGGGCAGCAGGAACTCACCATTTTTGGTAGCCAGGAAGCAGTTATCCGGACTGAATGCCAACATCCCGATGCCCATTTTGGGATTTGCCCGGTCAGCAGCTGGTTTGACATGGTGCAAAGAGAGCGGCACCTCAGATACAGCATCTGGAATTTGAAAGAGAAGTAATCAAGCCTGAATGGACAAAATCTTTACATTCCAACTGTTAAGCACTCCTTATTTCTGAGATGACAGGGCTGTATTTCACTCATCTCCAAGATGTTCCTATCAAAAAACTTCCTCTGTCTTGAGATAGTGCATCTTCACATACAGAGTTCCATGAGAAAAGGCTGGAAATCCAGGCAAGCCTGGGATTAAACTAAAATAAAAAAACAAACAAAAAACAGGGGATCAAGTTTTCTACCTTTTTGCTACTATTTCAAACACCAATGCAAACCACGGGTGATTTACAGCACTGCAAACAGTGAATAAAGAATACTAGTCATCCATTGCCTTCTACAGTATCCTGCTGATCTTTAACATGCCTTCAAACCACCCTGCAGAGAGCAGCCCCTCTGGCAGTGTGCAGCACTGATTCACTGCCCTTCAGAGCACCCACCAGAGCCATTCAGTACCAAAGGGGCAGAGTTCACCTATAGCGCTTACTCCTAGAAAGACTTAATGTGGCAAACTCAAGCATCTTGTAGTAAACTTTGGCTTACATTTACTTTGTGTGCTGAAGAGAGAACTAGCCAATGCTCTTGTTGGAGGGAAAGAAAGTCTCTCTGTTTCAACAGATGGGGATTTCTCCACTTCTTTATACACAATCTACAAAGAAACAAGTGAGAGTTCTACAGAAGGGCCTCAGAGAATTTGAACATGGGCTATTACCAAAGCATTCATATCCCATTATCTCATTTGTAAGCGTGTTGTGTCTCAGCACCCCCTGGTTCACCACCAGGGCTTCAGTAGGCAAATACCAAACTCAGTGAATCATCTGCTGTTTGGAACCATGATCAGGAAAACACTCCTGTGATATATAAATGAACCTTGAAGTCTATGAAGAGCGAGTCTGCCAGAGCACACCTCATCTGTTATTCCCAAGAGCTAAAATCTGGCAGCACAATAAATCACCTTTATTACAATGGGAACATCAGTTTCATTTCTGCAACAAAGACGAGAAGTTTTGCTGAGGTGCATTCAATGGATCACTCCTCACTTCTGGTTACAGGCATCACTGGAGTCATGGGAACATTGCAGACTTCCAGTCTGCACACGTGAAGTCTCCCAGGATATCTGTGCAGACACAAGCCTGGTCTCCCTCTGCAGCAGCACACAGCACTACTACACTGTGTTCTTTTTACCTTGATGGATGGGAACAGTTTGTGAGGTTTGGAACAAAAGCCAAAGCTCTCTGCCTGCTGCCAACTACCCAGAATCTGTTGGGCCCTGCACATACATGTATGCAATGGTAAAAATAAACCCTGATAGATGTTTACAGGAAATGCTCTTTAGGTGAGCTGGAGGAGCCTGTACACACAAGATGTAGATCTGACCACAATCCAGGTCCAATGCTGTTTAAAGTCATGAACAGTACAAAGCCGAGACAAATCTCTCCTGTTGTATCCCTGTCTGCCATACTCTGCACATGCACATCTGTAATGTAATCCCCATCTACATCAAAATACACTGGCATGTGACAAGGCACCTGAGAATCCGTGAGTGCCAAAGCTGAGGGGATCGTACACACGTTCTCCAAACTTGAAAGGATTCCTCTCTTACATCCCCAAATTTTAATGGGATTTTCCAAGCCCTTTACATATTAGAGGGGAAAAGCAAGGTCTCCAGAATGACATCTCTGGGATACAAACAGCAGCACCAAAGCACTGCCGTGGATTCCAGATCCATACTTACAGTCTTTGTGTTCACAACAGTTGCTGGATGCTCAAACTCTGTGATCTTCTTCCAGGTTACATGGTTCAAGATACGCACCTAGTTGTGGAAAGCATTGCAAGATAGAACCAGTATGACAAAGTTCTACAAATGGTTCAGGTACCAGAGAGAAAGTAAACTTATTTGTTACCTTTTCATCATAGCTGCCAATTGCCAGAAATTGACTGCTGGGACTCCAGGCCACTGATTTAATGCCGAGTGACCATTCATAAGCCCGATACGTGGACAGCAGTCTGCCGTCGAGGGAGTACAGCAGTATTTTATACTGAAACAGAAATGGATTATTCTGAAGACTAACAATATTGTTTAAAGTCATAAGCAGCTAAAACCATTCCTTCCAAACTCTCCCTCACTGAAAGGCAGCAAATTAAATACAAAGGGGCTGGCCTCTTATCTGTGATTTCAGACAAGAGGCTTGAGGCTCCCAGCTTGGCTCTTCTGGCTCTCTCAGACCACAGCCACCCTGTCTCCAAGAGCACAAATGCCACACTGAGCCAGAGCAGTGGCTCCTCCAGCCCACCACTCTCCAACACCATCAGCAGGTGACACTATGGAAGACCCTCATCCTCCTTCAGCATCTGCCAGCCCTCCAATCCAGGATGTTCCAACCCTGCCCATTCCCAGGGCTGTTTTGACCACACAGCCCATACAATCATGGCCACCAGAGGCTGTTTTCCTATACCCAGATATTCACCTACTCAGAGCAGAATGACAGCAACTTAGATATTCCTTGCTAAATGTTTGGGTCAGTATTTAACTGAAGTATGATAGTAGGAACCTCAGAGCAGAATTCCTTTGTTATTTCAGTAACAGCTTCTGCACCACTTTCAATCAATTTTTTTTCAAGCTAAATCAGAAAGCCAATAAGATAATTTGCTGTCATTGAAGATTTACACAACAGTTTGCCATACACTCATGAGAACATCCATTACCTATACAAATGTAGCAGTTAAAATGGTTCAAGTTCAGCTTTCACATTTAAAGGAAAAGAAATAAAATTAACTATTTTAGTTAGTGCTTTATACACAGCAGGTAAAACTCAACTTTGACCCTCCAGGAATACAACCATTTTTTTCTCCATACCTCCAGACACGTATCCCACACTGCCAGGACACAGCCATTAGGAGCCCATTCAATCCCAAACAGATCTTGGGTTTCAGTGTCAAAATGCTGTCCCCAAAAGAGAAAACACAAAGCCATTTGAAATACTGCGCTAACAAACACTGTTGCATCTGACTGAAAATCCTCAGTTTTATGCTATTAGGTGCTACCACAAATGCAAGAGAGCCATGCTAGCATGGAAACAGAAGTGTCTGCTTTTGCAACAGTATGCTGAATTCCCTGTTTCTTTGATTTCCCTTTACAGAAGAGGCAAAAACTTGTTATACCTTAAAATGAATGTAATTTCATAAGGAAGGAAAAGTAATTCCACTGAATCAGTCAAGAAATCCAGCTAGGCAAATTCCTTGTCTCAAAGACCAGTACAGGATCATCATGGAAGTGCTTGGGAACACAACAAGCATTTAATGGTATTTCCCAAATCACGCCATCAGTTTCTAAGGAGCCCCAGGACTCCTGAGCCCAAGGTGATATCAGGTACAGAGTAGATCTTATTAGGTTTTAATATCAGATCCATCCAGTCCTCTACAACATGCTAGTGTGCATCCTTCACAGCCTAAAATCAAGCTACCAAAGTGACCGAGTTCAAAGCAGCCAGCACGCAACACATGCTTGTAGTTTACACACAAGGGGAAGACAAGGATGTATCTTACTCTCAGTAGCTGCCAGTCACTGCACACAAAGATGCTAATGAAGTCCTTGCAGTCACGTCTTTCTGCTACTGCCATGTAGCGGCCATCCTTAGTGAAAGCTATCCCTGCAATGAGACAAAGTTAATTAAGAAAATGAGAGTGAAAACATGACAGAATAGCTGACAACTCCTCCAGGAAGAGCAATCACTTCCAATTCAAAGGATAAATGAAAAGAGAAGGAAAAAACATCTTCATAGATCATATTAACCAAAATCAAGGCAATGCATACTGTCACTAACTTCCTTGTGTCACAGTTCTTCAGCTTTCCATGTGCTACTTCTAAGGACACAGCTTCAGAGCTACTGCGAACTCCAGCATGCTTCAAAACCCTGTGTTTGATTACTGACAGACAGTTGTTATATAAAAGCCACAGATTTGAAATAAGCAGTTCATTAATCTAAGCTAAATGGATTAGTTATGCAACCATTGGTACTCCACAAGCTTCCAGGCATCGGTCCCCATCCGCTCTTATTTTATATGGGATACCTAATTGTTTGTGTCATACACGGGATACAAGCCTCAGGCAGGATACTGCTAACCACAGCTATGTGGCTAAACAGGCCTGACACAGCTTCCCTTTAAAATCTTTTCATGTGCAAGAGATGGCAAAAGCCACTTTGGATTAGTGTTTTCATCACCAGTGCATCCAGCTTCATTTGATGTCTTAAAAAGGATCCTTCAGAGGCAAATGCAGCAAAGATGTAGATTTGAAGAACAGGCACATGGATTGATGCGTTCACAGTGAGAGCGTGACATCCCCAGAGCACATCTTTGTGCTGGCAGCCAGTGGAACACGGAAGGGGGCCAGGGCCCACCCCAAGACCTGTTTTTTGTCATTACCCACCACATTCCTTTTCCCTTTCTGACATGTTAAACAATACCATTCTGGTGTTAGATATGTGCCACCTACCCTGCTGACAAGCTTTGGGATACTTGATGTAAGATACAGACTTGGTACACAAGGACCACACTGTTATCCGCAGCTGTCAAAGAAACAATGACAAGGAAGTATGTGTTTAGTTCCGTAGATAAAAAAAGGTAAGTAAACAGAAACCAATAAACCTACTTCAGGCACACAAAATAAATCAATGTACCCTCTGTGATTAAACTTTGCAGCTATTCTATGTAGCTTAAACAAAGCCTGAGAAGCAAGGGTGATGAATTCTCCTCTCCCAATTCCCTTCAGGTAGCAGGTTACTTATTGCAAATCACCATGACACACTGGACACAGCAGAGGGGTATACAAGATGCGGAACACCAATATGGAGAAAAGCTCTTCATCAGCACAGAAGTTACTGATAGTGGCATAAATCTAGCTACATGTATCATACATAGGCACTCTTCAGCTGGAAAAAAACCACAACAGTTTCATCTCAGGATCTAGAAGAGAGGTGAGAAGTTTCTTGAATTTAAGAGTGGATGAAAAGTTATAGCAACTTAAGAACATTGTACCTCTTGGCAAAGAGCTACCAGGTATGAAAATGTAGCTTTATTTTTCAACTCTTAGACACACTCTGCTTTGACAGCTGATTTCTTTTGCATTTTGCTCTTCCTTCCTCAGCGATACACCCAATGCATCCTACATCCTTCCTGAAAGCAGGAGAAAAGAACCAAAACATGCCACGCAAAGCAAGGCATTAAACATGATGTTTGGGGTATTTCTGGAGGCCTGTGCATCCCTAAGCCACCCAAACAGCAGAGAAGGCAGTCAGCTGCAAAAGAAGCCTCTCCACAGCTCTTCAAGGTCACAGCCCACATTCTGGAAGCTCTGTGTTGCCATCTGCAGATTATTCAATTAAAAACAAATACTTACTCTCCCTTAGCAACGGCAGCCCCACCAGACATATGTGCATTAATCAGGATGGCATGTGAATCATTTATAGCTGCAGCAACGAATGTTCCCAGGATAGTATTTTTCTTGTGGTTTCCTACATGTTATTGCACCGAGGTAAGAGATTCTAGGAGAGATGCAGGTAAACCTGTTTCTCCAAGAAACCATCTTTCCCAGAACTATTGAACAACAAAACTAGCTCAGATTCATTACACAGGCAGTGCTGAAGTCTTACCTATCACTGCATCCCAATACTGTATCAGATGAATCATCAGCTTCACCAGCACCCTTGGGAGGAAGTTTCTGCTATGCTTCTTTGCATGTTTGTCCTCAATGCGCATTTTCCTTCCCTGAAGTAATCAACATTGCTCAGTGGTGACAAGGGATTCTCCAGGGCAGCATCCTATGCCACTGTTCTACCTGGTAATGCTACAGACCATGTGTTTCAACAGCCCTCAGAGGTTCTCTCTTGCTGACACTACCATTTTGCTAGACAGCACGACTCCCACAGTTGACACGGTGTTCAAACCAAGCTTCAGAATCCTCATAAGCACTCTGAAGATGCATGAAGTCCCAAAGCAGAAAAGCTGCTCTCCCTACTGCTTTCTGTACACAGAAGACATTTCTGAGATTGTAGGAAAAGAGGAAATAAATAGTTCTTTAATTTATTAAAGGAAAGAGCAGAGTCAGGTCAGATTCCTGCCCACTTCTATCCAAAGTTAGAGAAGGTATTGCACCCTATTTCACCCAGGGTTTATTATTCTCTTTATTTCATAAGTATGAAATTACCGCTAAGCATCTACAGTGCCTTTAAGTTTATCAGGTCCTAGGGGAACCCTTGAGCTGAAGAACATTAATCAAGTTTTATCCCTGCGACTGCTCACTTCCGGACCCACAGAAATACAGCACTGTTAGTCTGCTCCTCATGCAAGATTTACTTTAAAAATACCAACACAATGCCTACTCGCATTCTTCTAGCACAACTGCAATAGTGATATGCTGCTTGCTCCTATTAATTGCAGCGTTAAATGTACTTGCTGCTGTTCCTCCCCCGACCAAAACACGCAGCCTACACAACACACATTCTGCAGCCACTTAATACAAGCTTAGCAGCTGCAAGCTTTGAATGCTGAGGTCTGCATTGTAATTTTTCCCAACAAAGGCATCCAAGTTTACACTTGTGCTGCTGCTTGGCCTCAGGATCAACTTACCTGGCCTGCTCTGTGTCAAGCACTTCTACCCCAGCCTGTGTTGGCTGACTCCGAGGCAAAACCTCACCACTCACGTCAAGCTCAACTGTGTAGGAAGAGAAGAATCTCTACAGGTGTGAAGCTGCACATGATGTGCAGAGCTCTCACTGTAACCTCTGCATTGTCTGAGACTCAATCAGAGACTGGTTTGGGTTGGAAGGGACCTTAAAGCTCATTCAGTTCCAAGCCCTGCCACAGGCAGAGACACCTCGCACTAGACCAGGTTGCTCCAAGCCCTGTCCAACCTAGCCTTGAACACTGCCAGGTCCTCCATTTGCTGCTCAGAACCTTCTCTAAAAGGATCAAGTTTTGTAATTCCCCAGAGAAGACACTGATAATGGATTCCCTGTTCATTCTCATCACATTGTACTTAAAGGCTGAGCATGTGCTTCACCAACACAGACAATCCTTTGGTAACCAAAGCACTTCATCTTCAGACTTGATCTCCATCAGTCACAGGACACTCATAACTACTAAGAAGGTCCTCTACTCCAGTATCTTTCCTGAAAAGGCTGCAAGCTGGTAAGGGAAGCGCACAAAAGCAAGGCAGATACCACCAATATGCTCTGCCCTAACATCCTTACAACCTCTTGCCCAAGTTACAGAGCAGGAGCCTGAAGGTTTTTCCTTGTGTTAGAAACACATAAAAGGAAATTGGTTTGATTCAGCAAATCAAATCCCCAAAGGATTCCCTTCAGCTGTTCTATTTGTGTGCACTTCAGCATCTATAAACTGAGGAAGTTACATTAGGTGCTTAACCTATGGACTTCACACCTATATTACACAGATTAACAACATGCTTACAATTAAACTGAGACAAAAAGGGAAAACCTTCATATTCCCAACTGGAATTGAAACATTCCATAATCTGGCCCAACATAAACTAGCCTAAAAGTGATTATTTCACAGCTATCAGATATGAGACAGAAACATATTGCATTGAGTTTGCATTGCTCTTATTTGCTTTTCTCAGGGACTTTGTGAAGAAGATACAATTGCTTTCACAGCAGGAGACCAGATCATGGCCAGCCAAGCCTGCAGCACTGAGCACTGAGGGGTGCTTTCTCTTTAGTACAGATCCATTAAGTGACATTGTCAAACTCAAATCCTAATGATAACAGTGTCTGAGAAGTTTTCAGCTGTTGTTTTGCAGTGGAAAAACAAACCAAAAGCAGCAGCATTTTTAAAATAGCCTAAAAACAGCTGAGAAATAAAAAGTATTTAGATGGTAACGTGATAAACAGTCTCCAGTGCTGGGTTCAGGACTACAGTCCAATGTTGACAGCTACAGGCAGGTGTAGGACTGGTGATTTTCAATGGATAAAAACACACTTTTAAACAACCTTGCATCTCAAATGACCATCAACTTTTGTCCCAGACTTGACTGGGTCACAACGCCTCTTTACATAGCAGTGTCTGTCAGCACTGGATTTCAGAAGATTATTCAGAGCACATTCCTCGACAGAAAGCATTTTTCAACCACTGCAGCCATTTACAGTTACTAAGGATTAGCTCCAATATACAAAGAAACACTTATTCCCCCTGCTGCTGTAGTTTGAAAGAAGCTCCTCAGTGTTCAGTACCTAATGCAGAACTGAAGTATATGTAGTTTATATTATGGCTCTTGAAAGAAACACTCAGTGCTGCTGATCTTCACACTATTTATCACAAAACATGAGTCACAAGGAAGAGGATCCATTTGCTTCCTCCACATCTTTTATCTGCAGCTCACAAAGCTCTACACATGTCTGTAAGTTCAGGCACTGTAACTGGAGAGATACATGGTACAACACCTTCCACAGAACACACCAAAAATGTGGAAACTTTTGGAAATCAACTAACTAGATATACATACACTTCTGCAAATAAGCATGGGGAAGTCCTCTGTATCTGTAACATGGTACTGTTAAAAACAGTTCACCACCAAGTGATCAGAGTCTGTGTACTCCCTCCAATAAGGCTGTACCACTTGGCTGCTCTGTGTATCATGCTGTTTATTGCAGCAATTGTGTGAAGACTTGGACAGGTACCTCTCCCATACAATATTATGTGTGTTGTGTAACAATTCTAGGACCCCAAAACTCCCACATTATTATTACAGATCCATCTCCAATAAAATGATCACATTTGCAGAGCTGTATTAATATTAAATGCCTATAGAGCATTGCTGCCCATCTCAAAAGGCTGAACAGAGACAAAATGGATTTTGGAAACATGTGCTGCACTTGAGTTGATGCACACCAGTCACATCAGAAAACCCACAGCATCATTCACTGTAACACTGACCACAAAAAAACTTGACTGCAAGTCAGCTGAAGAATCATTTCCTGAAGCATTAGTAAGTGTGGGTTGCTGGAAATAAATTAGCACAACTATATCCTTTAAAATATTCTAGGAATAGGGAAGTTTTCTGGGAGTTACAGTGGAGCTCGCATATTGACCTGAAGAATTGCAAGTATGAGTAATTACTTGTGCTACTTGAAAGCATCAGGCAACCAAAGTCTGGCTGATAGGGAAGCCCTAAGCCCTCCGAGCAATCACTGTATTCAGTAACATATATAATACACCAATATTAAATGTCCTGACAGTTTCTGTCTCAAGCACTACTCCATCTGTCCCACAAGACTATGGATTTAACAGAGAGAGAGTAAACACAACTCAGACACCAGCATAACCCAGGCAGCTGTCTGACAAAAGCTAATTTAGCAACCTGTTTACAGCTGGAAAGAAAACTTATCCCAAGACAGATGCCAACTTGGCAAAGGCTTAATGAAATCCTTTAAGGTCAAACCAAGTTCTGTTGGAGGCAATAAATACTTGCTAGTCCACCCCCACATGCACATGCCACAAGATACTCACACTTGTAGCACATAGCACCAGGCTGCAGTGGGGGTTACTGCCTACACCTCTCCCTGACTGGCAGGGGATTTAGCAACTTCAGGCTGAAGTTCTGAATGAGCTCTGAAACTCGTTTTAGTTGACATCAGGATGACTCACTGCTAGGAAAATTAAGGCCTAAATTCATCACTCCTCATAACCCACTGTCTAAAGGGGTAGGGGAATGGAACAAAACTGCAAATCTTTACCCCAGCCAGCACTAAACATCCTTGCCAGACAATTCTGCCACGTGTAGTTCTTTGCTATTCTTCAACCATTCATCATTGCACTGAACATCACCAATCACCAGCTCTAATTCAAAGACCACAAACAGCAGAGTCAGACTTCCTCTGGCCTCCCAACAAACCCAGTGCCCAGAAGCCACATCTGACAGGGATACTACCCTAGGGTGGGTTCCAGAACAGGGCTCTTCATCAATAAGCACTAATAAGCAATAGAGTCTATGATTCTATGAGGTGTTTTAATCTCCCAAGTGGTTCCACGAACAGCAGCCCAACTCCTATATGCCAAATCAAACAGTTATGAAAGTATTTCTCTAAACTTCATCTCATACATCAATAAACCTAAGATCATATTTTCAAATTACACAGACTCTTAAATGTTGATGGTTTGGAGCTTTATTTGGTTTTGCCTGAGCCTTCCCTGAGCGATGAACAACACATTTGATTTCTAAAATCGTTTTGATGAATACCAGTTACCCCTGTGCTTTCCTCAAACATATAATTTTACCTTCAAAGCCAAGTGCTCACATTCTAGCTGATCATCAGAAGCAAGAGGATAAAGTGTTAACAGAATAGCTACCATCTACACTGGAATTAACCTAGATTACATACATGGATACAGGAAATCTATATCCATGCTCTTCACCACCATCACAGCTTTAAGAGCTTTAGGTTATTTTAAGAGGCAAAGTGCAGACAGTAACATCTGATACCAGGCAGAGTAATCATGACTTCACACTCACATGGAACTCGGTTGTGTTGAGAATGTGACGACCATCCGGACTCCAGCATGAGGCCACCAATCCTGCTGACCCCTCGTCTATCTTACAGTGCCAGTCCGGCTGCTCTAGGGACCAGACCTAGGTCAGAGAGGAAACCAGAGAGGCAACACTGGGAACCAGCAGCTCACCACCCCCTCTGCTTGTGAGCACACACTACAGCAGCAACGAGGTTCCGCATCGCACATCAGAGACGTCAGGAAACCACTGCGAGCTGTGGCCATGAAGGACTGGCGCTGGATCCCACTACAAAAGTAAGCCCCACAGCTCTGTGTGCTTATACAAGTTGTAGAGTAAGGTGGCTTTTTAGCTGTGACAAATTCTGAACTTAAACCAAGTTTTAGTCCATTTAACAAGTGTGAATGTATTTATTTCCTACTGCACTGAAAGCTGGTAAGCCAGACTTCAGCTTTGAGTTTATTTTTATTCTAAAATGAATTTGTTTTCAAACTAAGGCATTTGTTTTAAAAATAACAGCATGCTTGGTTATCCTCAAACCCTGCATTACCAGGAACAAGGTCAGTTGCTGTAGCAATAACCCTGCAGTGGTTATCAAGAAACTTGCCCAGAGCACACACGAACCCCAAGCAGGAACCCCCCTGCCCTGTTTGGGTCTTACCTGCACAATCCCTCGCTTGTACATGGCACACAGTATGAACAGCGAGTCGGATGACCACTCTATGTACTGGATCTGGTCCAGGCACGTGTACACATGGAGGATCTGCAGGCTGCCCGCATCCCGGACAGCCAGGCGGTACTGCATGCACGATGCCTGGGCAAGAGCAAAGCCAGAGCTGAGCTGGCCTCAAAAGCCACAGCTCCCACTGCACCGTGCAGTGCTGTGGCTGGTTTAGGGCTAATTTCGGAAGAGCTCCAGTAGGAACAGTTAAAGCAGGGGGAAAAGGGGGTATGTTAATACATGGAATCCTCACTTTATCACTGCTCATAACTACGACTTTATTAAGTAACCGCAGTCTGGTCACCATTATAAAGGCCCCTGGCCACTAAAAGCCCCCCAGCAACCCACCGGCCCCACGCACACGCTTGTCCTCGTAGGACCAGCGGCAGCATCGCTCCCCGCACCATCCGGCCTGTGAGGACAGTGCTCACCGGGCCTCCCCGTACCACACGAACCGCGCCGACTCCACGGCTGCGGGGGGAGCCCGGCCCCAAGGCCCCGCGCTGCCGCTTCACCCGACGCTCCCCTCAGGCCGCGGTTCACGCTACTCACCAGGCAGCGGCCGTCCGGGGAGAACCGGCCAAGGAGCCCCGAGAGCTTAAACAGCTCTGAGAAGTTCATGGCGGAGCCGGGGCGGCCGCGATTCAAACCCGCCCGCGCCGCCGCCACGGCACCGGCCCGGCCCCGGCCCGCGGCGGAAGTAGGGGAACGGGCGGAACCGGACCTATCAACACCCAATCATAGCGGGACAGCGCTGGCCCAACAGCCAATCGAAGCAGGGAGGGCGGAACCCCAGGGCACGCCGGGAGTTGTAGTCCTAGTGCGGCGCGCTCTGCGCGGGGTCGGCAATTAACATGTAAATGAGCCCCTAATGAGGCGCGTAACGGTGAGAGCCCCCCATGGCCTCAGCGAGCCCCCGCGCTCAGCGAGCCCCCCCCCTCCCGGCGCTGTTCCGCGGGCAGCGTCCCGCGCCCGCCTGCCCTCGGTAATGACCCGTCCCGGCTAATTGCTGATGGCAATTAGGGGCGCAGCGAGGGCAGAGGAGCTGCTAATTGCAATAGGAGCTCACCTGTAAACGGGACCGTAACTGGATTGGAATTAATAAAGAAGTAAAGGGTTTTTTGGGGGGGTGGGGGGACATTCTCCTTTAGGGGGTACAGACACGGTCATTAAAAAATAAACTTTGGGTCAGAGCAAGTATTTGAGTCTTGTTTTCATTATGGATCATGTATTTGGGCCCCCAGAACTGGTTACAGCAGCTCCAATGTATTTAGGGGCTGGTAGATCATAGAATCATTGAACAGTTTGGGTTGGAAAGGACCTTACAGCTCCTCCAGCTCCAGCCCCTGCCATGGGCAGGGACCCCTTCCACTGGAGCAGCTTGCTCCAAGCCCTGTGTCCAACCTGGCCTTGAGCACTGCCAGGGATGGGGCAGCCACAGCTTCTCTGGGCACCCTGTGCCAGCGCCTCAGCACCCTCACAGGGAAGAGCTTCTGCCTAAGAGCTCAGCTCAGTCTCCCCTCTGTCATCTGAGTATGCCCAACAGATAATCAGAGTCTCATTGCTGATGGCTCTTGACCAGAAACACTCAGTCTTCACCCACTGCCACTCTATGTGTATCTTGTCAGGCCAGTTTTCCCACAGCGTGGTGGGACCTTGCTGATCCCCTGACCAGGCTGCCCCGCTGCTCTGACAGCCCAGTGCTGCTGAGCCGGTCACGCTGACCAGTGCAGGCACAGAACCAGCTCAGCCCATCAGTGTGGCGAGAGGAAGATCCCCCTTGGGGTCAGCCCACATCGAGTCTCCTTCCCTGCTCCTTCGCTACTAAAGCCCAGCCTCGGGCGCAGTGCTGCTGGGGGCTGCCGGAGCCCCGACAGCCGGAGTCACTTTGGTGACCAGCTTAATTCCCCGGCACGCTTGGCTGAGCATTCCCCACCCCCTTGCAACTGCCTCCTACTCCAGGAAGGAGCGCGCAAGCTTTTGCCTCACTTTTCACATAGCTTTCAGCAGCTCCAATGTCATTGCCTAGGCGACCAGGACGCTACTTGATTGTAGGGCAGTAAATAACATAGATCCTCAATCCCAGGCCGCTCCTGCCCGCGGGAGACCTCCAGGGGAACTCGAAACGCTTGGGGAGCCAGAGCAGGTAGGAGGAAAAACGTGACAAAAGGGAATCCCTTGCTGTTTGTGTGCGGGAGTTACTCGGCACGACCCTCTCGAGTGTTGATAATGCAACTGGAAGATGATTTGTGGCTGCTTTGCTTTGTAGGCTAGTTATGCAGTATTAAAGTGTTGTGGAAAGTTTGTTCCCAAGTGCCTTAGATCTGGGGTTAGAGCACTTGTGGAGTTAAAATGGGCCATGGGAATGGGAATAGGAATGGCAAGGGCAGAGGTGGGGATGGGTACGACAGGATGCTGAGACTGGATCCTTCCACACGGCTGATGCTCAGTGGCAGGCAGGGAGGGCGGCTTGGCTGGGTTCGCCTCCTGCCCATCAATGAGTCTGATTGAGCTGGTTTATATCAAAATTCCTGTTCTCTCCTTGGAAAGAAAATTGATAGGAAACTGCTGGATCCCAAAGAGGGCTCCTGAGATCCAAGCGTGCTGCATTGCAAAGAAACTTGCTCATTCTTGGTTGCTTTTACAAGCCTCGGTTTCCAGTGGGAATTCAACAATCTGGGACAAATGAGCAGTAGCACGGGGTAGTGTTGGCACCTCAGGAGTTTGCAAACGTGAAGTTATTTGCTGTGGGCTGGGGGAGCCGGATGGGTCTCCTTTTGTGGAGGACATGAGAAAGTCCAGGGACCAGTGCACAACCATCACGCAATACACAGCAGCTTGGTGTGGGAGTTGGGAATGGCTCTCACAAGTCATCTTCTTCTCTTAGGATGAGCCAAGAGTCTTTAGGAATTAGGCATAGCCGCATTGTACAGGGTCTGTGCATTTATGTTCCTTTAAGGTGGCTGCAAAATGCTGTCACATTCTGTTGCTTGGTGTTAGAGTGGCAGAATAGTGGTGAATAGGTTATTGACAGTGAAACGGGAAGGGACAGTTCTAGGTGCCTAAAACTGAGGCTTAAAGTTGATGGTGAGAGCAAAGATGCTCTTTCTGAAGAGTACGGAAACTGAGCTCCAGGCATCGCTCTCAGCAAGGCTGCAACCCCCCCATCACACCTGTGGTACCTTCACCTCTTATAGTGATGCAAAAAGGAAGTCAGTTTACACTAATTCTAAGAATATTTTCGGGCTCTGTGGTCAAACCCGTGGGTTGAACGAACCTGTGGTTGCGTACGTGTGAGCTCATCTGCTCTGCTCCTCCAGAGAGCTGTTCTCCCATCTCTGGAATCAGTGGGAGCTCAAAGGAAAGGTACTGGACACTCCTGCAGCCCCCATGGTGGCAGCCCCTGCCTGGGTGCTAAGCCCCATGGAGCAGAGGTAGTGGACTGCCTCTCCCCAAGCTCTGTATTACTACTCCCAGCCTAGTTTTCCTATGTGCACCTTCCCTGCAATGCCCTGGCCAGCAACAGAGGGAAGCAGCAACCCAGCGAATGCTGGAACTGCCCGGGGAAGCCGGTGGAGAGCGGCTCTCGCAATGAAACCAAGCACACCAGCAGCCTGCAATAAAGCCGGTGTGCATCCTGCTGCAGGCAGCAGTCCCCATGCAGCCGCACCAAGCACCCTTCCCTCAAAGAGAGCTTCACTTTAAGAAGCAGCTTTTGGTCTCTGGAGGTGTTGAATCCTCCTGGGGTGGGTTTGACTTGAGCTCTGTGGTAGAAGTCGGGGTGATAACTCCAGTCCGGCGCTGGGAAGCTGGTGACATCAGGGAGCTGACGCAGCTATGGCAGAGGGTAAGAGCCTCCAAATGGATCTGAGGGGCTGGAAGGGGCTGGGGCTGCTCTGGAGCTCTGCCACTGCTGCTGTGTTTAGCCCCAGGTTAGTCACTATAGGCACTGGGAAGGTAATTACACCCAGGCCATCTAGCACTGCTTCTTTAGCAATGTGGAAATAAGCTCTTCCCTGTCACCTTTAATTCAGCTGCGCCACAGGGCCTCCCTCCTCTCCTTCTCGTCCTTCTGCTGGACATCCCCATCAGAGTGGTTTCCCACTTTCCCTGGATGTGAATGCCTCCTTCCTTCCCTGCTTAACAGGACTCTATCCAGCACCTTCTTTTAGAGTAAATTAGTCATTGGCACATTGGGGAACCCTGTTTGGAAGCCTTTTGTGACTCTGTCACCCCAGACATCCATCTGCCAGGCTGGCATCCTTGCTGCAAGATGCTTTCCTGGGATGTGCAATGACCACAGCAGCAGGGATGTGCTTTAACATCGACAACCCGAGCTTCCCTTTGTCCTACGGCTTTCAGAGCTGGGATGTGCTGTGCCACTGGCCTGGCTTTGCAAGCACAGCTGATGCTTTGAAAGCGAAAAGGAACCTCCACAACGCCCTTAAAATAGGCAGATCTTTTTCCTTTCAACAAGGAGGGTGGCTACGTGGTTAGAGCTGGTGTCACCCATTGTGACCGCGCACCCATCGTGCCCACGCAGCGGCGCAGAGCTGCTCTCTGTGCTGAAGGGAAAGGCCTGGCTCCTTCCTGAAGCTCCTGCTGCCTTAGGGCAGGGAAAGCAGCATGGAAGCGGGGTAAGGCCATCCACAGGCAGCTCTAGGCTTTTCCTTTTCCCATAGCGGATGCGCAGGTCCTTTCTCTGTCGCACATGGGACGGGGAGGGGTGGGAGGACACCAGGCTCTCACTGTAGCTATTTCAGCCCCTGTGGCCACCCGGTCCCCATCTGAATCAGAAGGACCCGAGCACCACTCAGGCAGAAAGCGCTGCCCTTGCGCTGGCGGCTCGAGCCCCGCAAGCAGGAAGTTCTCAGGCTTTCACTCTTAGCTGTCGGGACGGAGCTGACACGAGTGCTCAGGCTGGGCTGGGGAACAGGAGCAGCCTCAGAGCGCACATCCACGTCAGGCGGGGCAGGGGAGCGACCCCGCGGCTCCCAGGGAGCGGGTAAGGGAGGAGGAGGATGGTTGCATGGCGGGGCAGAGGAAGGCAGCGCAGGGTCAAGATGGCTCCGAGCCATGTGCGAGCTGGGAAGCTCCTGCCTGTGCGGACGTGGGGCTGCACGCTCAGCGCTAACCTCGCTGTGTCTCCTTGCTCCTAGAGCGGTTTATCCTCTGCCAGACTCCCCCTCCGGGAAGATGTCCCAGTCCTCGCCCGCTGATGAAGGCACAACGTTTGAGCACCTCTGGAGCACGCTGTAAGTGATGGCCGATTGTTTGCCTTGAGGTGTAGTGGGAGCAGAAGTGGCCTTGGCTCTGCAATCCATGTTAGTATATATCATTACTGTAGCCTGAGGTGAGGCGGGTTTCTTTATCATGCTCCACTTTCCCCATTCATCTTTCCACACTGAGAATTTAGCTCCCAAACTCTGATCTCCATGCTCAGACCATTCCGTTTGCCAGAGCGCTGGTGACGACAGGCAGCTCAAATTCCATGGAGCATGTATGTCCTGAAAGCAGCAGATGGAGAAGTTGGGAAGGGGCCGAGGTTCAAGGGAATGGCAGGTTGCTGGTGGTGGTGTGGGCTGTGCTGGAGAGCCGAGGGCTGACTGTGCTGTCCCCTCTGCAGGGAGCCAGACAGCACCTACTTCGACCTCCCTCCATCCAACC